TAAGATGCAGAGGATGGGCTTGAACTTGTGATCCTTCTGCCTCAGCCTCCCAGAGTGCTAGAATTATAGATGTGTACTACCAAACTCAACTGGAAGACATGGTCTTTTAAAACTTCATCTTGGGAGTGATACACTTCTGACATTCCAGGCTCTTCTGCGATAGAGACTAGCTCCATTTTTTTTCTTTTGTTTTGTTCTGTTCTGTTTTGTTTTAGGAGACAAGATCTCTGTGTAGGGTAGGCAATCCTCCTGCCTCAATCTCTTGAGTGCTGGGATTGCAGGTGAATACCATTGTTCCGTTTTGGTTGTTGTTCTTTTTTTTCTGTTTGTTTGTTTGTTTTTACAGGTCTCACTGTGTAGTTCAGGCTGACCTTGAACTCATTGTATAGCCCAGGCTGGCCTCAAACTCAGCAATCCTCCTGCCTCTGCGTCCTGAGTGCTGGGATGACTCGTGTGCACCACCATGCCTTGCCAAGGCTCCGTTCTTTGCAGGGAAGAGTGTCAAAGAATGGGGACATAACTTTTAAACTACCACACTATGTATTTATGGAACATCTCTCCTAATATTCTCTATTTTTATTATCTTAAAAAATATTTTTGCATTGCTGGGGATGGTATCTGGCACTTTTAAACTTTTTTTGTTGTTTTTCAGACAGTCTTGCTATGTAGTGTTGTAGTTTGACATAACTGATACCATCGTGAGCCCTGTGTTTTACTAGTACCCTGTATTTTACCCATGAAAATGGAAAATTACTCAGGGTATAAGTCCTGAGAAAAGCAGAATAAACTGTACCCACAGGAGAAAAATTAACCTGCTCAACAAAAGAAGCAGGATACAGGCGTCAACCAAAAATTAATATAAGATTCTAGCCAAATTGTTTCCAACAGGGTGTTTTTTTGTGGTCCTCTGTTTAAAAGTGTTGTAATTTTCCAGTTCAGGGCCACTCGGTGAGACTCTGAAATGGGTCTACACAAGTGGTTGCTGAGCTCAGCTAATTAAATTACAAATTTATCAATTTGGCTGCTTGGATTCCTATATTGTTTATGAACCCACTTCATGTAGTTCAAGCTGGCCATGATCTTATGGTGATCTTCCTGCCTCTGCCTCCAGAGTGCTGAGATTACAGGTGTGCAACACCAATCCCGGTCACCTTGTAACTGCTCCTCAAGGGAGCCCAAGCGTCCCTTCCCATTGCCCTCTCCTCTGCCCCGTCCCAGCTTCCTCTGTCTCTGCCTGGTTCTGCCTCAGCCACCTGTTTCTCTTTAAAATCTAAAACTTCCCCAGTACAAAAACAAAATTTAAAACTATTCATACTTGTTTTGGAGCCAGAAAAAGCATTTCATGACTGTTCAAATGAACCGGAGCTTTTCAGTGTCATTCCTGAAGACATTTAGCACTGTCACTTGTGTGGCTCATGGGAAACATTAAGATGAAGGTGTTTTAACAGCATCAAGGAAAGACCTTTGGTGAGTCCGTCTGCTGACACCGCCTAGGGTCCCCACAAATGAAGCAGGGGGCAGGGGCTGAGCTGGCCCCTGCCCCAGTCACTTCCTCAGGCTCTGCTGCAAAATCCCACTGCCCTGAAGACCCAGGCAAATGTGGTCTGAGTGCCCATCATGTGGAGCCCAAATCACCAACCAAGATATCACAGCCACCCCAAGTGTTCAGTGAGGCTCCAAAATCCAGAAAACAGGAAGGACCTCCTCCAGTCCCACAGCTCTCCAGCCACTGCAAACTGTGTCCTTTCATCTGCCACTACTGAGGCAGAGCCCCAGCAAAGACAGCCCTACACAGGCAAAGGTCAGACAGGCCCTCAGAAAACCAGGTTTTCCAGCAACACAGACAAAGGTTACCCAGGATACCTATATCCCAGTCCCATCAAAGCTGAGTTGGAAAAGCTGGGCAAGCAGCCCTGTGAACTGTTCAACTCTCCCACATGACTGCTGGCAGCAACCACAACTCTATCCAGAAAAGCAAAGCAAAACAAAAAAAGGCCTTGCGGGGCCTGGTGGCACATGCCTGTAGTGCCAGCACTTGGGAGGCTGAAGCAGGACTGCCACAAGTTGGAAGCCAGCATGGATTACATAGTGAGTTCAAGGGCAGCCTGAACTACCCAGCTAGACTGTCTCAAAACAACAACACCTTTCTCCTAACTACAGGGGTGGCAGGCAAGCCTAGCACCTTTCCCACGGGGCAGGTTCTGGCTGTCAGAACACAGTCATTGAAATAAAAACGACCCAGATATTTCAAAAAGAGGGCATCATTCCTAGGCTGATGAAATTATTTCCAAAGTAAAATATTATGAAGAACACAAACAATAAGGTTTTCTTGGGGGGTGGTTTCTACTGAGTACTAAGATCTAGAATCCAGTTCAATCAACAGAGCTTAGAATTGTGCCACTGTGCTAATAAATTCTTCCCAGACTTGTACTTGTTTTGATTTTAAGCACTTTTTTTAAAAAAAATCAAAATTGGGGTTGAGGATTTAGCTCAGTGGCATAAACGCCTGCCTGGTAAGTGCAAGGTCATGAGTTCGATCCCTGGTACCAAAAAAAAAAAAAAAAAAAAAATCAAAATTAGTGCAAAAACGAATCCATGATGAAGAAAAACCCCGATTTAAACACAGTGTCTATCGAAGTGAGCCCTACGGTGCTCTTTCAAAGCGAGTGGGGCCCCGCACACTCTGCCAGTCTCAGCTTGCTTTCTTGACTTCTGGCTTTTTCTAACGCCTGCATTAATGGTATTACGGGATGTCCGGAGCCCAGCCCCCTGGAGACAGCGCGGCTCCCAAATTTTTCTTTCTTAGCTTCCTGGCAGCGCTGGGGTTCGCCCCAGGGCCCTCGCACAGCGCCACACCCCTTTTTCAATTGTTTTCCTTTCAAGACAAGGTCTCGCTAAGCCTCTCAGGGTGGGCTTGAACTTGCGATCTTCTGTCTCTGTCTCCCCGAAAGGCGCTCCACTGTGCCGGCAACTCAGGCTTCGCGGAGCCGCGATCCGTAGCTGCGAAGCTAGCACTCCGCGCCCGCCCGCTTCTCCTGCCAGGAGCACCCAATCAAAACCGCGGCCTCCTTCCCGCGCTTTCGCGCTGCATACCAGGCCAATCACGGTGCCGCCCTGTCACGCCGACCAATAAGAGGACGCCTCGCCCTACGGTGGGAGGGTCACCGGCGACCGTTACCCGACAGACCTCGCTGCCACCCTGGTACCGCGCTGGCTCGGAGGCTGCGGTGGCGAGTGGGCGCCCGGCTCGTGGCGGCGCGGACGACGGCCCTGCTGCAAGGTGCCACGGGTGGGTGCAGGGTGGCGGGCGAAGAGCCAGGTGGTGGTCTCTGCGACACTCCGGTATCCGGAGTATCGGTGCTACCCAGGCTGTGGGGCGGGCGGGCCAAGCTGCTCCTCGGTGCGTCTCAGCAGGGCGCTAGCGCCCTGAACTCGCGCGGGTACCCCGGGGCCAGCAGGACTGGTCGCGGGGATGCGTGGACACTCGGGGTTGGAAACCCGCGCGTGTTATTCCTGGATGAATAACACGAGCCAGAGGTATGCGTTCTGTATGGGCTGCAGTGCCTGGGGGCGGGGGGGGGGGGAGGCAGGTGCGGTAAGGAAGGGGTGGGCCCCCGCGAGCACCGAACCAGCACCCAGGACACGCAGCTGACGAAGGCAGGAGGCCGTGAGGCAACCGTGGCCGGGTGCTTACGGAGCGGAATGGTGAGACTGCGGTTCAAAGTGAAATTCTAAAAGGCCCAGGAATGCAGGTCCGTGCAAAGGACCTGGGTTCGGCCCCCAGTACTGCACGCACGCATGCGCGCGCGCACGTATGCGCGCGCGCACGTATGCACACAGGAAACACACAGGCAGTTTGACTGGAATATGCACCATGCGAAGGTTAACCAAAGGTTAACACTGCTGTAGGGTCACCTAAGACTTAGCTCAGATTTTAGTCTGAAACCGAATAACATTCCTTGTCTGAATTTTAGCAGCAGGGTGGACAGATCAGATTGAATTTGGGGAAGAGTGGTCTGGCCAGCTCTGAGAATGAGTTTGAAATTGCCCAGGTTGGGTGCAGGGTGTTGAAGGGTGTTAAGGCAGAGTCCTGGGATCATTCACGGAGATGAAAACACTGGAGAAAAGTTTGTTGAATGAGAACTCAAAGGATAGAGTTTCTATAGAAAATGACCGTATGCCTAGGAGCAGAACTGCTGAGTTGCTTGGCCATTCTGTGTTTCACATTAGGAGGAATCGCTGATTTGCAAAATGTTGGCCCCCTTTCCATTCGCACCTGCAATCCATGAGGGCTCCAGCTCCTTCTCATCATTGCCAACCCTTTTTGTTCCCTGTTGTTGCCATCCTGCTGGGTGGGAAGCGGTATCTCACTGTGACTTTGATTAGCATTTCTCTGTGCATAATGATATTGAACATCGGTCCATGTATTTGTTGGGTATTCGCATTTCTTTGGAAAAATGTTTATTCAAATATTTTGCTCATTTTTAAAATAAAGGGTTTTAGACCAGGCATGGTGGTACATGCCTGTAATCCCAGCACTTGGGAGGCTGAGGCAGGAGGACCACTGTGAGTTGGAAGCCAGCCTATGCTACATAATGAATTCAAGGCCAGCCTGAACTACAGAGTTAGACCCTGTTGCCAAAAAAATAAATAAATAAATAAAATGAAATAAAGGGTTTTAGTTGTAGTTGAGTAATGTTTTTCTATATTTTGAATCTAGAGCTCTATCCAGATATATTATTTGCAAGCACATTTGTTATATTAAGATTTTGAAAGCAGAACTGAATGCAGAATCATAAATGAGGATAGCTTTAGACAGTAGAGTTGCAGAATAAAATAGTGCTGCTTTTCTCACCAATTTGAGTGTTGTTTATGTTACATGTGTTTACTATTTATGAATAAATATTTAGCTTTAATATGGCAAGTATTAATAGTCGCATAAACAAATACTGTATTACTTGTAGTCAGGGGCTGTGAGGAAAACAATTAAAATCAGGACATGGAGTTTATAATATTTTATGATGGTTACCCAGAGTTAACACAAGAAAGTACAGCAAATCTTTCCACAGCACCAGAGACATAAAATATTTAACCAAGGGCCTGAATCCCATAGCAGTGTCCTTTATGAGTCCAGTTGAAGACCCAGAGCTCATGACAATGCTTCCCATGAGTCCAACTGGAGGTCTAGAGCCCACAAGAAGGACTCATGCCAGTCTCTTTTATGGATCTGTGCTAGGAAGGCCGAGAGGTCAGCAGTGGAAGCTAGAAAGTCTATGCCAGCAGCATGAAGGAGCTGGTAGGTTGAGGGTTCTGCGCTGGACCCGAGAAGTCACACAACAAAGATCAGGGCTGTTCTGAAAAGCAAAACAGCCATCCTCAGCGACATGGCCCTGAGCTCCTCCGAAGATAAACACAGCTGAGTGAGTGCATGCCAAAAAGCCAGAGTGACGAGTTCATCCTGGAGACCATGCGGCACACATCTTCCCCTCCGGAACCAGGAAGCAATGCTTGATGTAAGGACCAGAGCTTCTCCAGGAGAACTAACAGCTCAAACAGCAACACAGGAAAGCCCACAACGCCTCAATACCTCGCTTCTCCATGTCTCTATGCTGCCAACTTTCCTCAGGTAGAAAATCTACGCTCAGCATCATGGTGATTTAATTCTGCTGGTGTTAACTTGACTGCCAGATTTTAATCTATAACTGTACTCTTGAGTTCTCAACACTTTCCATGAATGGGATGAGTTCTTGAATCTAAAAAGGAAGAACTGGGTGTGGTACCACACACAGGTAATCCCAGCACTCAGGAGACGCGGCAGGAGGAGCCCTGTGAGTTCTAGGCACAGCTTGAACTGCGTAATGAGACCCTGTCTCAAAAAAGAAAAAAGGAAGAAACTCACTGATCTGAATTATTTTGACAAAGTAGCATTGTTTTCATCATAATCTATATTTAAAATATTTATTCACAGAGTAGGGTTTTTATTTGCTTACCTAAAATTTCCTTAAGCCAAGTTATTCAAATCTAGTTTAGTAGTCTGTAAATCTTTTAAATATGTGAATGTTCATTTTCATGAGAAAGTGAGTCTGTGATTTCAAGTTATGAAACTTGAAAGTATAAAACAAAAAGGTTTTATGGTATTAAAAATCTTTAAAGTCTGTTAACTTTCTGTGTTAGCCCAAATTTTTTTCTTATAAGCTAAAAATATTTCTGAAACGTTAAATTGGGGATGGTGATTACTTTCTAGGTCAGCTAGTTCCCAAACAAAAGTTGCCCTTTGTGTGGCTTACCAGTACTGGGCTGCACATGCAAGGAATCTAGTTTGTGTGCTCCTTTGACTCATCCTGAGCACCCCACCACCACATCCCCCCCACTTCCCATTTATGAGAAAATTAGCCTTAATGAAATCAGCTCTTGGTACCAAAAAATGTTGGGGACCACTGCTTTATGGTCCTGCCTTGGACCTTAAATACAATGTCAAGTATAAATAGTGAAAAGAAATGTCTTGTATTTGACAAAATAATTAAATGTTGTATCATCAAGTAGGATGTTAGTTATAGGATTATTTATTGTAAGTAGCCATCAAATTGAGGAAGTTCCCTACTACTATTTTCTGGTTTGCCAAGAAATTTTTGTTAGGAATAGATTTTGTCTTTTTAAAATATCGCTTTTTCCAGCACTTAAAATGATAGTGTGATTTTTTTTTTCCTTGTTTATTCTCTTACTATAGTGAATAACGCTGATTGATTGACAAAAGTTCGACCATCCTTGCATTCCTGGGATAAACTACACTTGATCAGAACATGTTATTTTTTTTTTGTTGTTTTGCTTTGGGTTTTTTTACTTTGCAAAAAGTTAATTGAACACTTGTTAAAAACACTAAGTATCTACATATGACTGTACATCAGGTATTTTTTTTACCCCCTTAGAATGTCCTCCTCAGGTTATGATGGCCTTGTAAAACATGTTGGGAAGTTTTGTCTTTGAATTCTAGTTTTATTTCTACTTTCGTTGATGGTAAAAATTCATCAGTGAAACCATCTGTGCCTGGCATTTTTGAGGGGAAGTTTTAACCATAGATTTAATTTTCTTAAGAGACATGGAAGTGTCATATTGTTTATCTCTTGTATTTTGAGAAGTTTTGGTTTTTATGTATATCTATCTAAATTGTAATATTTACCAGATACATTGCTTATTATATCCCTATTATCTTTTTAATGTCTGTAGGTAGGGTCTATAGTAACACTCTCATCATTTAGGATGTTGATAATTTGTGTTTTATCTTTTTCTTAAATAATTTTTTTCCCTGTACCAGAGATCAAACTTAAAACCTTGCACTTGCCAAGCAGGCACTTAGGCCACTGAGCTAAGCCCCCAGTTTTTGTTAGATAAGTCTTGAGAAGTGTTTATAAATTTATATGTATTTTGTGGTGTATGCATGAGGTTTGGTTTGGTTTAGACTGGTTTTAGACAGAAGCTCCCTAGTTTGCCCATGCTGGACTCCAACTCTTGATTCTCTAGCCTCTAAGGTAACTGGGATTACAGATGTGCACCAGTATGCCTGGCTTATAAATTGTATACATATTTTCATTTTTTATTTAAATTTATTGGTGCAATTTAGGTACACATAATGACTGTGTTCATTATATGGATTTTGCATCTGTACATGATATCTCTTGATTCCTGTTTTTTTTCCCCATTTCCATACTTTTTTAAGACTCCCTTCCCCTCCCCGTATCATGGAGCTCCGTTTTCATTTCTCATTATTTTCTTTTCCTTCCTTTCCCCTCCCTCTCCCATCTCCCTATTTCCCTTTTCCTTTTGAACAGTTTCTTCCTATTTCACCGTATCTGTTTACGTGTATGTTCTCACTAAATATTTTCAGTTTCTCACACCAGAGAGATAATGTGATATTTGTATATGAGTGGCCAATTTATTTCACTTATGATTATGGTCTCAAGGTCCACTCATTTAGCTATAAATGTCTCAATTTTATCTTTCTTTATGGCTGAGTAATTACATATATATATATACGTATATACATATCTTTTTTATCCATTCATTGGGCATTTGAATTGTTTCTACGATTTAGCTGTTACAAACTGCGCCACTGTAAACATGGGTGTGCATACATCACTGTGGTACAATGTTTTGAATTCTTCTAGGAAGACACTCAGAAGGAGGATAACTGGGACTGCTACCCTTAGGTTTTTTTAGGAATCTCCACAATGATTTCCACAGTGGTTGCAGAAGCCTACTCTCAATAAGCAATTTTGATTTTTAACTAACTATTCATCTATTTTTAGCTTGTTTACGTCTCTATATTATTTCTGCCCTACTATTTCAGGTTTAATTTATTCTACTTTTTGTAGTTTTTAAAGATAGAACCTTAAATCTTTGGTTGTAATATAAGCTTTATAAATAATATACTATATTATATATAATGTAAGCTTTATAGTATAAGCTTATAAAGCTATATATTTCATTACCACATACCACAAATTAATGTATGCATTTTTCTTTTCTTTGCGGGGAAAGTGGTATAGGATTTGAACCCGGGGCCTTCATACTGAGCTGCATGCCAATCTTTATCATTTTGAGCCAGGGTCTTACAGAGCTTCCCAAGTTGGGCTCAAACTTGGGAGTCCTCCTGCATCAGCTTCCCAGAGTATTCAAATTACAATTGTGCACTACCATGCCTTAACAGTATGTGATATTTTCATAACCATTGAGTTTAAAATTTTCATTGGGATATATTTCCACTCATGGATTATTTTCAAGTGTGTTGTTTAATTTCCAAATAATAAGAGTTATCTCTTAGTGTGGTCCTGATACATACTTTCAGGGTATTTAGACTCCTGGCCATAATGGAGTAACAGATGACACTGATTCACTCTAGAGCCTTAAACAACTTGAAAACTAGGTCCTGTATGTGAAGTAACTGTTTCATGACACTGGACAATGAGCATCATAGGAAAAGGAAGCCGATAGCCTGAGCCCTGACAGCCAGCTTCCTCCTTGGAAGCCCTTTACAGACCACGGAGCAAGGATGTCACACAAAGCTGGGGTCTGTTTGAGTTGAAAGGGAGATTGAGGTTCAGAAAGATAGTGGTAATTATGCAAAAAAAAGCCCAAAGATCCAGCTTGGCTCCCCATGAGCTTTGTCAAATACTGGAGTGTGTCTGCAGCTATGCTCATGGGGCGAGAGCACACTGTAACCTTAAAATAATGCACCTTTCCTCTGCCCAGAGTGCCCTGCTCCGTAACAGCGAGAGCTGGGCATGGTGGTGCACTCTGTAATCCCAGCTGTCGGGTGCTGAGACAGCAGGACCAACGTGAGTTCAGGGCCATCCTGAACTGTGTAGCGAGACTCTGTCTCAAAAGGACCAAAAAAAAAAAAAAAAAAAAAATTCAGGCAAGTATTTGTGAAAATGTGGTGGGATACATGGGGAACAGGAAAAAATTTGGAGTTCTGCTGTGTGTGCCATAATATTTTTTTTTTAAGTATTTCTCAGTGTTGTAAAGCTGAAGAAATATCTTTTTCTTAAGATCCCTAAAACTCCCTATTTTTAACTATAAGTGATAAACTAATGAACTCTATAACATTTTAAGGTTTGTCTTTAATTTCGTTTATATCACATAATTACATTTAAATTTTAAAATCAAGGGTAATGCTAGAGTAAGTAATGTAGGTCCTCTGTCCATTGAAGACAATTTAACAAGGTAGATAAATATTTTTTAAACCTCCTTAAAAGTATGTAAGAACTAATGAGATAAGAAAGAATTTCCAGGCCATGATTAGGGAAAGGATGGAAAGGCCAAAAGGTAAGCCTAGCAGAAGAACAACTTTTACCCCCAAAACGCTCTTCTAATTTAGAAGAAATGACAGAGAGGATATGCTTCAGAAAGGACAAAAGTCCTTTTACAGTAAAGATGGGAACCAGGTAAAACATCTCTTGCAGTATGCTTAGGGTCCCAAAGGCTGTGCCCTGGAATCTAAGTAAACCAGCTCTTTCACAGACTATTGCTATCTGGGCAGCCTAGAAAAACATCAAATTCTGGCTGTAGTAAAGGGATTCTAGGTTACTAGTTCCCCATGGCACTTAACAGCTAACAAAAACTCTCTGCGGGAAGGTGACATCATCCTTGGGCCCAGCTTTATGTGTCCAGTTTATCAGATGTAATATATGGCATATAGTCAAAGGAAAACTAGGAGCTTAAAATTAAACCATGAGCAAGAAAATAGTGGGCAGTACAAACAGTTTCCTTAGGCCAAACCTCAAGCTCTCAAAAGCTTCGAACTTTATGAACAGGACATTAATGCTCAAGAAATTTTTAGATTTGAGAGCATTGTGAAAATTCAGATTAAGGATGCTCACTTGTTTTTTTTTAATTTTATTTTGAAAGTAGTAAAAATGCAACAGCACAAGACAGAACAAAGCCAATCGAGAAAATGCAGTGAAATTAGTACAAGATTTCACAGTAGGATACTGGGATAGTAGTAATAGGTACTATGGTATATCTCTTTAACTTCACAATAGTTGTCCAGGCAATTCGGTATAGCAAAATCAAACCAAAAATAGAACATTATAAAACCAATTGAGAATACGGAATAGAGCAAAAGAAACATAACACAACAGTGAAAACAACCTTTGCCTTCAAACAGAAGATAGAAGGAAATCCCCCATATTTGCTATACTGCATGTGGTCATCCTCCCAAGACATGCTGAGACATCTATCCCCAGTAGCTATGCGGGGGGTGCTTGATTTTCATCCCGCGTGGCAGTAGGCTCACATGTAATGGTTCTCCTCCTGGCCCACACCGCAGGTGCTTACCAAGAGGGCAGGTGAAGAAGCTGCCTGAGTCCCACTGTGGCCAGATCTCGGGAGTTCTGGTTCTCCTCCTGGCCCACGCTGCAGGCTCTTACCAAGAGGGCTGGTGAGTAAGCTGCCTGAGTCCCACCATGGCTGGATCTCGGGAGTCGCTCACCTGTTAAAGTTTATGCAAAAGTTCCAAAATCGGAAAACCTTGGAAGTGAAAAGGAGTTTGTTCCTTGTATTACTAGAACATGCTCTAGATTGTATGGTTACACTGTATTTGGCTTTTAGTAAGTATACAAGTTAGTTTGGAATTATAGTGTCTTTACAGTTTTAAGACTGTTTCTTTACTGGCTTACACAATTTTTTTCTTCATTGTCCTAAAAGAGTCTGCCTTCCTTGTTTTTATGTAGCTATCAAGTCATGATTTTAAAAACTATTCAGATGTTCCACCAGCTTTATCATTAGCCCTCTGATTTTAGAATTCTTGACTGTAACTGATACTATGCTAAATTCCGCTCCAAATTCTAATAGTTTTTTTTTTTTTTTTTTTTTTTTTTTTTGGTACTGGAGAGCGAACTCAGGACCTCGTGCTTGCCAGGCAAACACTTATGCTGCTGAGCTAAATCCCCAGCCCTGCTAATAGGTTTTTTTTTTTTTAATATAGTGTCACGTATAATAATCGCTCAATGTTAATGTCTTTTATAGAGTATTCATCCCTGAATGATGCAGGCCACTGCCCTGGTGGAGACAGCTTCTGGGAAAGGCTGTCACCGTGATGGAGGAAATGTTCAAAGAGGTGAGAACGAGGCCTGTTGTCTTTTTTGGGAGGGGAGGGATGTTAGATTTGAGATGTACTTGTGCTAGAGTTTAAAATATTCTGCAAATATCTTAACTTAGAACATTTTTAATCCAGAGGAAAAAATGTAAAAGAGTATTGAAAATAAAGTAAGAAAATCTATCAGATATAAAAATATCTTATGCTATAATAAAGCAATATGACATTGTTATACAAAAAGATAATAGGTTAATAAAACAATAAAAATAGGCCCTTAGAATATTATGAAACAGAAGCAGGAAGACTTCAGAATACAATAAAGATGTTACTTAACTCTGTTAGCTTTCCACCACTGATAAAATCTGTGAGCCAAACAGCTTCAAAGTGGAAACGATTCATTTTCACTCATGGTTATAGAGGCTTGGTCCATGCTGCTAGGCCTCATCATTTTGGACCTATTGTAAGGCAAAGCGTGATGGAACAAAGCTGGTCACTTCATAGTGACTAGGAAACAGAGAAAGAGCAAGGGGCCAGGGACAAGATGTGCCCTTCAAAGGCACAGCCGCACCACCAGGTTCCTCCAGCAGGGCGCTCTTCTAAGCTCTTCTAACACCACCTCTTGTTAGTGCCACCAGCTGGTGACCACTCCTTCATGCATGAGCCTTGAAAACCATTCCAAATCCAGATTACAGAGTACAAACTCAGCAGACCATGGGCAGTTCAGCAAGTGGTGTTAGAACACATAAGCATGCATTTTGGAAGAAAGTAAAAGTTAGATTCCTACCATATGCAAAAAGAAAATTTTATTCTGTACAGTGTAAAAAAGGCTAAGTGTTTACGCACAGAGTTAGAATAATTTGTAGGTGAATATTTTTATAATTAAGTAACAAGAAAGGCCAAAGACACCAATATCCAAAAGTTGTGGAGACTGATTTATTTAACTAAGTAATCTTAAAAACTTTGCTGTGACAATATACCACAGAGAATTCAGAGAACCAGCTACATGCCAGTAATCCCAGCTACCAGAAGGCTGAGGTAGGAAGGTTCAAGTTTCAGACCTGCCTGGGCAACTTAGAGGATGCTACTTCAAAGTAAAAAAATAAATAAAAAGGCTGAGACTAGTTGAGGGCTAGAGTACTTTTCTTAGATATGAAAGCTCCTGGGTTTGATCCCCAGTACTGGCAAAAACATTTAAAAAATAAGCAATAAACTAATTTACGTATATTCTAAATGTCAAAGCCAAAAGAATTAGTATTCAGAATATATAAAGAGCTCCTATACAAATCTCTTATCTTTAGCCCTGTACTTACAAACTCTTACTAAACATTGACACTAGATCTGCTATTGCTAATTCTAAATTCTCCTTTCCCAATCCAGACGCCCATCTTGCTCCTCCTCTATCTTACTTTTCATCTTCATCTTCTAAACCTGCCCTTTACAAAGTCCCTGTTTGGCTCTGAATGTTCTCATTCAACTACAGTCAGTCCCAAGCTATAAATATTAGCATTATCTTCAAGTGATATTAAACGTGTAGTAGCCAGTTGATAAGTCATGAAATCAGTTTAGCTGATCATGATAAGTTTTAAATGAACTAAAACACATTGTTCATAGCGCAATTACTGCTTTATAAAATTTTTGTTTCACTCGTGTATATGCGTCCTGATATAAAATATATTTCTAAGTGTGGTCTTAGTTAAAAAATGAAAACCACTGCTCTTTCTCTTCCCCTTTCTGCCAAATTCTAATCTGCTGCCAAGCCTTGTAGCTGTGGGACTTTTACACCAGCCTCTGCTCCAATGCCACCTCTGTGCTCTCGGCTCACTGGAAAGCCTTTGCTCTCCTCCTTCAAGCTTCATTCTTCCGTTGGCTAAGCTGTGTGCCGCTCAGAGTCACATGCTTACCCTCTTAAAAGACTTTGCCTTAAAATAGGAGCCAGACTCTTTAGCACATCATAAAAGCCATTTTCAGTCAAAAATTCCTGTCACACTTCTAGAACTTTTTTATTTCTGGCTAGCTGGCCTGCAGTTTCCTAAAATGTCCTGTTATTTCACATAGCTAACTGTACTTACTGTTGGATTTGCCTAAGATAATTTTGTCTGTTTTCTTTCAAATACTTTTTAAATGTAAAGTGTTCTCTGCAATCTGTGTCTCCTTTCTCGTCAAACTTACCTGTTCTGTAGTGCATCTATGTCAGTACCTTTCTTGACCTGTGTTACATTTTTGTGTGTTTATTTGTGACCTCAGTGAAAGCATGAGGATTTGAGGCAGCACCCGTGTCTGCTTTTCCTTTGTTTATATAATACTGAGGTTGGGATGCACTCAAAGTTTATTAAATAAATTTTTTAGGAAAAAAGTTTTATTAGACCTCAGGGGAATCGTGGCTCCTGTTAGCTCACAAGGCGCCACTGACTGCATGGCTTAACAGATCTGTGTACTCCCAGTTCTGGAGATCGGGGTACAGATACGGTCGCTTCTGTTCAGGCATCTCCTACTGTCTCGTAGATGGCTATATGCGTAATGTAGAAAGGATTCCAGTGTTAGGCAAATCATGGACCAGGTCATGTCTAAGGTCTCTCTGTGTTCAGATTCTGAAACGTTTCTATTAATGTTTTTTTATCAGATCTGTCTTCTAATGCTAAGAAATCTTCCAGTGGTTGTAATGAAGTCAAACCAGCTTACCCTGGTGATGAGTGGGACTGCTTGGCACTAGAGCAAAGAGCAAATGACAAAGAAATCAGTAATAATAGCCCAACAAGTTCATCAGAGTCATCTTTTTCCGAAAATCAGGACACTGATCTACAGAATGCTCACTCGCAGTCCAGTGAGTTTGAAGACCGTATTGACTATGCTTCTTTGAATAAGACCTTCTGTATATATTCAGAGTCAAAACTGAAGAATGAAGACATTACTAATTTAAATTCAGAATTAGATCCTAAGATGGGAAAAAGAGAGGACATGTTTTTTGATAGTTTGGAACCTCAAGGTAATAGGACTATTGCCTTGGAAAGAATCCATAAGATTTCAGATGCCAACTATGAGGAAACTGCTGAAGAAACGCAGAGGTGTGATATGGACGAAGACTCTCAGCAGGAGTATCACAGTGCAGAAGAACAAGAATATATGAGTAACCATTTATCTTTTGTCCAAGCAGAAGCATTCAGTATATCTAATCTGAAAGTTGTTGAATTCAGAGATTCAGGGTATGAAGTGCAATGTGCTAGCAATCTAGAAGATAAGAATACGTTAGAAAATAGCTCGGTTATCTCTGCAGATTCACTTAATGTGTTTGCACAAGACTACACATCCCATGTCTCTAAATTTCAGAATTGTAATCTGTTAAAAGAGTGTTATGCACCAAAGTATGAAAAGTGTAAGGAACAGGAGACAAGTTTAAAATATCCCACAATATTTGATGACTTTGTACAGAGAAGTACTTCTCTTGAAAACAAAGGATCTCAGTCTGAGAATGACTTGTTGAACCCTCAGAAAGCACTAAAAACTAAAATGGATACTAACAAAATGAAATGTGAGATTTCTGAAAGTAAGGATTTTTATGAAAACACAACTTTCAAGAACAGAATCCCACAGAACCTCGAAAATCCTAGCACATTCCCCCAGGATGAAACGTTAGAGACACCACAGCAATCCTCTCATGTCTGCCAGACTTCTTGGTCCTCTATTTTTGATGACTCAATCATCTCTGCCTGTGGATATTCGCGTTATAAAAGCCTACAGAGCACGCCCAACCCAGCCTCAAGCTTTCCTGTTGTCTCAGCAAGGATTGCTGTAAGAGATGATCAGGGAGTCAAAGGAGACGGCTCCCTAAAAGATACAGATGGCAGAAACATGAACAAAGCATACTCTGAGGGGGGAAAGAGAACACACCCTGGATCAGTGACAGGTGCTACAGACTGTGCAGTCACAGTTCATGAGACAGTGGATGTCAGCACAGATTTTAGGGCTTGTTTCACAACCAGCAGAGCAACAAATGCCAGGCCTTCTGTAGTATCCACAGCCAGCAACACAGAGGTAACTATGATGAGTAAAAAGCGGCCCAGCAGATGGCAGAGTGAAAAGCAAAGCGTGGCTTGTAACACAGATTGGTCATGTTGTCAAGACTGTGTGGATACCCCGGTGGCTTCCACAAAAAGATCAGGAAAATCTCTCTTAGCTGACAGTTTAAAACCCAATGGAAATTTTCAAAATAAGGTAAAATCAATGGGACCAATAATGAAATTTTATTTTATAAAATTATTTTAGGCTTGGTGTGATGGTGCATGCCAATAGTCTTAGCACTTGGGAGGAGGCAGGAAGATCACCTCAAGTTCACTGTACAGCCATCCTGGGCTGCACAGTGAGTTCAAGTCCAGCCTGAGCTGTAAAGTGAGACTCTGTCTCTAAATAAAACTAATTTACTTTATACAGTATATATTAATATCCTTGTGTTTGGTTGATTGTGTTGAAGCCTTTAGAGAAAATGCTAGATTGCCACCAGCTCTATCTTGTGGCATCAGTTACTGCCACAAAATTCGTTGAAAATTCAGTTTGACATTAGTTTGAAACTCCATGTGTTGTGGGCTAAGGGTGTAGGTGAGTGATAGAGTGCTTGCCTAGCATGTGTAAGACCCTGGGTTTGACCCCTAGCAATTAAAAAAAAATCATTTAACACGTATTATTTGTCACCAGGTATTTGTATTAATGAGAGAATTTTTTTTAAGCCAGTCAAATTTAGCAGTGGGGGGTGGCGGGGTGGTACTAACTTTAGTGACACTAATGATAGAATTTTAAATCATGTTTTTAGGATTCCCTGGAATTAAAAACATGTAATAACACAGCCTTAAAGAAACATCCTGAGAGGTAGGTGAGAGGTATAAGCTTGCAGATGTACATGCAGAAACCTTGATGGTATTTTTTTGTTCTTTTTTTTTTCTAATATTGCAGATTTTTTTATTTAAGAGAAAAAAGACAAAAGAAAAAAAGCAAAAGAGACAACAACAAATCCAAAACAATAACAATATAGACTTTGAAACAAGATGATAGGAATTTAATAGTGGTTGTTATGTTGCATATTGTAACTTTCAAAAGGATTGCTTAGATTACCAGATACAGACATGTAAAATTGATCTAACCATATGAACATTAACTGTTCTTTTCCAAGAACTAATAGAATTAGTAGTGTAGTCATCTTAGCTAGCTTGTGTGTGTGTGTGTGTGTGTGTGTACATACAAATTTATGTCTTTTTCCTTTTCCCTTCGTTCTTTCCTCCTTTCCCCTATGGACAGTGTTTGTTTTGTGTGTAATATGTTTAACCATATAGATTATAGCTAAAAGGAATATTAACAAATACCTGGTTCAGCGACTTTCTTTACAATAGTACTAAAACAATATAGAATCTTAAAGCTCTTTACTTGTGAGATGTAGTCTCAGTAATTCCTTTAATTATTCATGGAGTCTTAAATTTATTCAAACAAAATCTATACTGATTTAATTTTCTGTGTTCTTTCGATTTCCCTGTAGAAGACCAAAACAAAATAGCAGCTTTAGAAACTGTCTTGTTCTTGAAGTTAGCAACATTCACAGAAGTATTTTAATTTTAACTTTAATTCAATGTATCATTTACTTTGTACTTCTTAACTAAAATACCATGCAGAACCAAGAGGTGGAAAGGGAAACAGGAATATCTGAACAGCCAAATTAATTACCTTGCTCAGAAGTCATTTTGTTCCTTCCTTCATTCTTTATTTATTCATTTTGAAAAAAACATATTTTTATTTCTTTTGTAGTGCTGGTGGACGAGCTCAGGGCCTCTTGCACACTAGGCAGATCGTGGACCACTGTGCCATAGCCCATCCCATCTTGTGATGTGTAATTAGCATCCCAGCTCTGTGAACTTAGAGTTGGTTCCAGAACAGCTGGAAATGGCAACCAGTAGCAAGGGCAAACTCCCAGAATTTTTCACTGAAAAGACAGAGTCCTTGGAGTTTTTGATTAAATTTTTGATTAAATAAAGGACAGGCACACAACAAAATATTTGCTTATGTTACTGACCCTAAATTACTAAAAAATACAAATTATCTATTTCTATTGAAGGTAATACATTTAAGAACAATTTCAACCTGGAATGTTTATAACTTAAAAAAACACACACACACACACAGTCAAACCTTGATTTAAGGGAACAGGGCTTTTGCTCAGCGGCATAAGCCCCTGCCTGGCAAGCACGAGGTCATGAGTTCAATCCTCGGCACCAAAAAACAAAACTAAACAAAAAAATGTTGATTTAGATCGAAAGAAAATCTATTCATTTCTGATGGATGAAGTCATTACCTGAAATCAGAATCCTTTAGTTAAAAAAAAAGTATGATTCATGAATTACATACTTCCTTGACTCGCAGAAGGAATCTGTTGATCTCTGACGCCTAATGATCTTGCTTTCTGAATCTCTTGAGTGGTCCCACAGCCTCTCCCGCTTTAGTAAGAATTGATGGAACCTGGAGAGGGAAATGTAAGAAATTTAACATCTTCAGTGGAGCACATCATTACAGTAAAAAAATGTTTGGAGTCTTACCCATCCCTTTCTATTGTTTTTAAAGGGAGTTTCAACTTGCTGAAGACATGACGAAGGATTTACCATCAAAGTGCTGTAAGAAAATAATGCAGAGAGCTATAGAAGCAGAGATGCACCTTTTAAACGTTCGCTATCAGATGTGCCATCGCCTCTGCTGTGATATTTACAAACTTGTTATAGAAAATAGAGGACTAAACAGGTGTTTATAAACTGTCAACAGTACTTTCTTTTCTTTTTTTTTTTGTCAACAGTATTTTCATACAAAGTTATTACTAGTGTATTCTGGGACTCTTTTTTTGGATACCAGGAATCAAACTCAGGACCTTGTGCTTGTCAGCAGGCGCTGTGCCACTAGCTGTATCTCCAGCCTTTTTGTTTTTAAATTTTTTTGAGACAGGGTCTTGCCGTGTAGTTCAGCTTGGCCTCAAACTCATGGTAATCTTGTGCCTCAGCTTTCTGAGTGCTGGAATTATAGGCATGTGCCACCATAACCAGCTTTACTTTGCAGTTTAAAGGGAAGAATAAAGAGTAGGTTGTGATGGAATTGTTAGCTAGCTTAAGGATAATGAACTTTTAAAAAGTAATGCCATGGATAGGCAATAATGCAGTGGTTGGAACAATGAATTCAGTGAATAGATAAATTTGATGTCTCTTTAAAGGTTCAAGGAAGGATAAAATGAGAGAGTTTTCCATGATCTACCACGTTCTCTCTAGATCGTGCATCAGTGGTTGTTTGTACTGCCCCTGTGAGAATCCATCTACTATAGTCCCTTTTATTTTACTCAACATTAAAAGAAAACTTAACCAAAAAAAAAAGAAAGAAAATTTAAAGATCTGACAGTTAAAACTAACTGTATCATATGTTAGTGTTAAATGAATGACTTGAGCATTAATAATTTAGTCTTGTGAACTCTGAACAGGAATTTACCAGGTAATTCTGCTAAGAAGGAATTAGGATCAGCACTACTATCTGTTTTGGGCGACTTAAAAGTCAGATATGTGAATTTAAAAGAAAAAGCACTCAAAGGCATACCATTGGAAGAGCTGCCCCCATTGTCAGTAGAATCAAAATTATTAAATACTTTCTCTACATTCCTTTCCAGGGTATGTATCTATGTTTTACTTATTTACTTATGATTTATATTAGTACATAATAATTATATTAATTGTGGGGAATTGGTATATATATAATACATCTTAATTCATTTTTCATCCCCTACATATATGTCTTAAGAGTAAAAATTTTACTTCATTTAGACAAGAAACACTTTAAACAAAGTTTTTTTCTTTTTCCTACTTACAGCTAATGAGAGAAGAATCACATGAGTAAGTTGTATCATCTAAGTTAGAAGTTATTTGATGTTAAAAATTGCTTAATTCAGTTAATTTTAAATTTTGTTTTGGTTTCTATTCAGAAAATTGATAAATCCTTAATGTCTGTCTTTAGCTTTTCAGGAGCAGATTCTGAACTAGGTAATCAAACTGCATCTGATGGGGAAGTTTCTCCAAACCTAAAAAAGCCACACTCTCAAGTGAGATATTTTTTAAAGTTCATTCAGTTTAAAGCTTTGATTTTTATGGCCTAGTAAACTGTAACTTTAAGAAACGCTCACATCTTTCTTTTCCTTTTTACTGGTTTATTTTGTATACTCCCATTTGAGGTATATAACTGATTAAAAGGAATTAATGCTCTGTTTAAAAGTCTAGTCCTAAACAAACAGATGTCAACAGTACTATATGGTGACTAGGGTGGCTGTATAATTTATCGTCAAACCTGGAGATTTGGAGGGTAGAAAGAAATAACATTAATAATTGATCCTAACAGAAGATACAAACCTGGAGTATCCCTGGAGAACTATGAAAGTTTGCTGCCATATTGAGCCAGTGGAGTTATACCTTCATCTCATGTAGAACAAAACAGTATTCCATTCATTTGAACAAGTCAGAGTTTTAAGTCCTTTCTTTATTAAATGTCTTAGATGTAATGTCTCTTCTTACCCCAAGGAAATTGTCAGATAACAAGAAAGATGAGGGTTCCCTCTTTCTTTTTTTTAACCAGGAATTAAACTTAGGACCTTGCACTTGCCAGGCAGGCACTTATGCCTCAGAGCTATCCCCGGCCCTCTAAGAAAGATGGTTTAATTGATGTAAGAACACTGAACATTGTGAAATAATATACAAGCATAAGTTATATACCACTCTTAAGAGGCCCTAAGATAATGATGTAGCCAAGGATTACAAGGAAAACAGTTACACAGAGGGCACATGATTTATAGGATTATTTATAGCAGTCAGCCAAAAAAATTAAAAGAAGTGCAGGAAATCTGTCCATACACCAAGACCCAGTTGAAGCCTGGACCCCAGGTCAACATCATACGTGACTCTAGCTGAAGACCTGGAGCCCATGACCATGCCCAGTACAAGTCCAGCTGGAGTCCTAAAGCCCACAACAATCCCTCATGCAAACCTGTTTCGTGAATATACATTTGAAAGGCCCAAAGGTCAGCAGTGGAATCTACAAAGTCTGTGCCAGCAGGATGAAGGATCTGTGTCCATAAGTTGAGAATTCTGCACGGGAGCCAGGAAGCAATGCTCACAGTAAGGATCACGCCTAACCCTAACCCTAACCCTTGGCAAGTACTATAGTCATCCTTAGCAACAGCAATGTCCCAAGCTCCTCTAGCAATAACAGCCTACTTCATATCAGGAAGCCAGTGTGACAAGCTTCTGGAGATTAAAGAGCACCATCTGCCCTCCCTGGAACCATGAAGCCATGTTCAAAATAAGGACCAGAGCTCCACCACAGTGCAGCCATTCTCAGTGACAGCAGGGTCCTGAGCTCCTCTGACATTGAGAATAGCCAAGTTCATATCAGGAAAGAAGCTCCTCCAGGAGAACCCATGACCAGCAACACTACTTCTTCCTCTCTAGTTTTCTTTATCTTGGCAACAGTTTTCAGGTGGACCATCAATGCTCCACACCATGCTGATCCAGTTCAGCCTGGTGTTACAAGTTGACCACCAGTTATCATTGCACCACAAGTGGGAAAGCTAAAGTCCCCCTTCATGTTTATCTTTCATTATTTGAATAATTTTATTTTTTTTATAAGCTAGGCGTCAAATTCAGCACCTTGTCCATGGTAGGCAAGCACTGTATAACTGAGCCATATTCCTAGATCTTGGAGTACTCTAGTTACTTAGGTTGGTACTTGTTTATTGATCAATTGATTTTTCAGTACAGTACTAGAGAATGAACCCAGAACTTGAGCTACATTCTCAGCCCGGTGTTTATTTTAAATTTGAGACAGGATCTTGCTAAGCACCTAAGTTGTCCAGGCCAGGCATGAGTTTTCAATCCTCCCAGAGTGCAGGATCATAGATGTATGCCACCATGACTATACCTAGAGTGATCTCAAATAATACTCTAATAAATTCAAAAGTCAAAAGTAAATACTTACTTAAAATGTATTCCTTTCTACAAAGAGAAATAATTCAAAAGTAAATTGCTTCATGAAACTATCTTGTTGTTAAAACTTTTTTTGAAAAAGGAACTCTCAGGATTATAATATATAGCTCATTGTTAAATGCATGGCACAAATGAGGCCCTGGGTTATCTTTCAGAATTAAAAAAGTAAAAAATCTCAGTTCTCTACAAAGACATAACAGACTCGAGACTAGATTTCTGTGTACTCAAATTTCTTACATAGCTTGCTTAAACAACTTTCTCATTTGATGGTGTTTATTATTCTAGAGGAGTTTCCCCCATTTTAATGACCCCCGTAGTATAACCTACTTATTTAAGGATAACAGTAAAGAATTTTTAAAAGTGTAAGACCAAGGACTTGGCAAATGCCACAATCAGAAAAGAACTTCTCCATGACATACCATAGTTAAAATCCCAGAAGTCCAGCACTTGGAAGTGATTAGAGAAAAGAAACAAATCACTTATAAGAGTAAACCCATTAGAATTACAGAAAACTTCTCAACACAAATTTTAAAGGCCAGGACAGGTTGAATTGTTTTAAACCCTAAAGAAAACCAACTTCCAACCTAGACTGATCTTTCCAACAAAACTGTCTTCCAAAATTGATGGAGAAGAAAGATCTTAAGCAATTCAGGACCAAACCAGCACTCAAAAAAACTTTCAAGAATATTCCTAAAATGAGACAAGTTACCAAAAAGTAGAATGAATATGTCATTAATAGTGACCAGTTAAGCAGAAACAAAAACCTAAACATCATCTGGAAAATAATACAATGATAGAAACAAATTAGTACCTCTCAATAATAACAACTCTATATGTGACTAGCTCCAACTCCCTGCCAAAAGGCAGATTGGCAGACTGAATGGAAAACCCAAATCCCATGGTATACCATATATAAGAAACATTTAATTCAAAAAAGAAATTCATAGACTAAAAATCCAAGGATGAAAACAATTCCATGCACTGGAAACCCAAAGATGAGCAGATGTAGCTCTTCTGTCTTCAGACAAAGTAGACTTGAAGCCAAAACTAATCAGAAGAGGCAAAAAAGATCACTATATATTATCTAAGGGAATGAGCCAACAGGAAGAAGTAACAATTATTAACATAACCAGCTTTATAAAACAAGCATTACTGGGCATAAAGATGAGGTAAACATTAATACAGTTATAACAGAGGACCCGAATACCCTGCTTGACAAATGGATCAACTAGTCGAAAAATCAAAGAAATACAGTTGATCCACACTTTTGAACTTAATAGATAATCTACAGTGTTCCACCAAACAAAAGAATTCACATTCTTATCGGCAGCACATAGACCACATGTAGACCAAAATGGAACACATGTTTGCCCATGAAACGTAAAGAAACACAAAGGACTGAAGCTAGGCATGGTGGCACATGCCTGTAATCCCAGAACTCCTAAGATCAAGGCAGGAGACACAAGAGTTCAAGGACATCCTGAACAACATCGAATTCAAGTCCAACCTGACCTGCATAGCCAGGCCTTGGCTTAATGAACAGAAGAATTACAATTATTCCATGCATAGTATCAGATTACAGCCCAGTGAAACTAGAAATTGATAGCAAAACGAGCCATACAGTTATGCAAACATGGAAATTAAAATGTATACTCATGAATAATTAGTCAGTGCCTCCAGAAGAAACAAGAATTTAGACAGTTCCTAGTCAGACAATGGCAATACACCATGCCAGAACCTATCGCACAATTAAAGCACCCTGAGAGGGAAGCTTATAGCTTTGAATGGCCAAAAGTGAGTTTCAGTAACTTAATGTTGCACCTCAAGGTCCTAGAAAAACAAGAACAAGCCAAAGCAAAAACTAAAGACATAAAAATCAGAAACTAATGAAACGGACAAAAAATAGAATCAGTGAATCAAAAACCTGATACTTTGAAAGAAGAAACAATAGAAAAACTCATGCAAATCTTACCAAAGATTAAGAAAAGGCCCATTTCAGTGTAATTAGAAACAAAAAGGTAAGGTCACAGCAGACACGATTACAATCCAGAAGATTATTAGTAACTACTTTGAAAATCACTCGAATGCAAAAGAAATGGGTAAATTGTGAGGTATATATGAATTATAAAAACTGAAGCAAAAGATACAGGAATTCTAAATAATCCGCTTACATTAACTATGAAGTTGAAGTGATAAAAACTGTTCAATTAAAGGCTAGGACCTTATGGGTTCACCTCTGAATTCTACAAATACTTCAGGGAAGATCTAACATAATTACTGATCAAATTAATGAATTCTAAAGGAAGGACTACTGCCAAATTCCTGGAAACTAGTGTTACCCTGAGTCCAAAACAAGGCAAGCATTCACCAAAAAAAGAGAAACAGAAAAGAAAAAAGAAAGAAGACAGTCTCTTTAATAAACATAGATGGAAAGATCTTTAGCAAGATGCTGGCAAACAAGGCTACAAGTCATTAAAAACATCATAAATCTTGATCAAGTAGGCTTCATCCCAGGGATGCAAGGGTGGCTAACATATGTAAATGAGCAAATGGAATATATCACATAAGCAAGGACAAAAATCATATGGTCATTTCAGTAATGTGGAAAAAGCCTTCACAGAATCTAACATCTCACCATGATAAAAACTCTGAAGGAAATAAGTGAACAAGGACCTTGTCTCAATCTGATAAAAGCCATTTATGATAAACTTACTGTCCACATCATATTAAATGGGTAAAACTGAGAGCTTTTTCTTAAAATCAGGAACAAGACAGATGTCCACTATCACCACTGTTGTTCACTATAGTACTCAAAACAGTAGCTATAGTAACTCAGCAAGAGAAAAAAGGAAAAGGCATTCATAAGGGAAGCGGTCACTGTAAATTCAGTGGTAATATGAGCTTTTACTTAGGGAAGATTAAAAGACTCCTGGAACTAAGACAAGTGCAGCAAGGTAGGAGTATACAAAATAACACAAAAGTCAATTGTATTCCTGTACACCAAAAATGAACACAAAGAAAAATTAGGAAAACAATACCATTTGAAACCAGCTTCAAGAAAAATTAAGTACTTAAGAATTAACCAAGAGAGTGAAAGACATGTATAGCAAAAGCTATAGTACTCTGAAAAAAGATTAAAGATAGCATATTAGAAAATGGTATGATAGATACTGTGCCTAGATAGGTAGAATCAAAATGGTCACATATTCAAAACTGATAGAGATTTAGTGCAGTCTTAAAGTCCCATCATTCCTTACAGGACTAGAGAAACCCTAAAATTCATGTGGAACCAGAAAAACCCCAGAATAGCAAGTGCAGCCCTGGGTAACATGCAAAGTAGGAGGCATAACTCTTAAGTTATATAGGATTACCGATATGCAGGGGTAACAGCAGCAGGATGCTGGCATGTGTGTTAGTGGAGCAGAACAGAACATGCAGAAACAACCCACGACACACTTACCTAGTCATCTGATCTTGGACAGAGGAGCCAAAAATACACACTGAGTGAAAGAGCCCCATGAACAAGTGGTGCTCAGAAAATGCTATCCACATGCAGTAAGGCTCAAGCTAGACCCACATCTCTCACCATGTACTAAAATCAAAGAGGATCAGAAACCTAAATACTAATGTAAAAATGTGTCATCTACTGGAAGATAAGTAAAAGTCTTGCAGACATAAGCATAGACAAGGATTTTCTGAATACAACCCTAGTTGCATTTAAAAAATCAAGGATCAACACAGAGTCACATCAAATTAAAAGGCTTGTGCACTTTAAAGGAAACAATCAACAGAGTAAAGAGATAACCTATAGAATGGGAAGAGTTTTACCAGTTTTTCCTCAGAAATATTTTTAAAAACTCAAAGAATTAGACCCCAAAAATAAAAGGTACAGTCAAAAAAAACCAAGTGAATAGACACTTTTCAAAAGAAGTGGTATAAATGACCAATGAATACATAAAAAAAATAAAATCTCTGCCCTTTAGAGAAAAGCAAACTAAACACAGATTTCACCTTACTCTAGAAAGGGAGGCTATCATCAAGAAATCAAATAATAAATGCTGGCGTATCAGGGAAGGAGGAACCCTTCTACATCGTTGGTGGAAATGTAAACCAATATAACTACTATGCAAATCGGTATGAAGATTACTCAAACTTAAACTAGAAATTCCAATTGACTTGGTATTTCCCTTCTAAGGAATAGTCGCAAGCAAGTTAAAAATGCCACAATGATCCACGCATCCCCATGTTTTACAGCATCACAACTCATATAATAGTTCAATGTTAGAAGCTGTCTATATACCCATCTGTAGATTAATGAATAAAAAAACAGATTTATACACAGTGGAGTACTGCTGTCATGAAGAAATCTGGATCATCTGTAGGAAAATGGATGCGCCTTTGAGGCCATAATAAGTGAAATAAGTTAGACACAAGTTTAAATATCACATGGTTTCTCTTAAAAGAGTTACCTTAGAGTTACTTTTCAATATCTGTCATTAAACAAGTGATTATTTGTGAAAGCCATTATAATGTAATAGTGTTTTTAAATTTAGCTATTCACGTATCTTCATAGTTTACCATGCATAGACATATAATGTTAGTATAATTAATATTATATTTTTTCTTTAAATTACTCTCCTTTTTAAATAAATTGAAGTGTAAAGAACAACTCACTATCACATATCAGAAAAATACTTTAGGTCCCATAATTAAAAGTACACATAATTATATGTTCTAAGTTAATATATAAAAGCCCAAATGATAAGTATTTCTGTGCTTCCAAAAATCATCTCAAAACTGTCCTAGTGTATTTGTGCCACACATTCCTGAATAATAACCACATCATCACACAGTCCCTGCCCACAGCCTGGGGTCAGATCTAATTCTTGTTAACTGACACAGGCTAGCAACCTAGAAGCAGTCTTCCCCCAGTGAAGTCAGGTTGATAAGGATCTCACTCTGACCTCCCTCAGTATCAGGAGAGCTAAGTGATGCAGGGAGAGAGTTCTTGTCATGTAGTGAAAGACTAATAACTGATGGTCCTTACTGTTGTTACTATCTTAATCCTCAGGTGTCTTTATTAGCTGACAATAGTCATCCTAAACAGGATACATCACCCAAGGAAGATGCTTTTAAAAATGGTGATATCAATGTAGACTTCAGTCAACTAACACTGGATGATAAAGGTCAGCATAAAAAGTATTATTTGTATAGTTGCTAGAAAACAAATAATGTGTACATAATATCCCTGTCTGTCAGTTTTTCCTATAGATTACCCTCCCCCAAAATGTAATTTTAATGAAGTAAAGAGCTGTACCATTGCTTAATTTCTTAGAGGGTCACTGTTACTCAATGGAAAGATAACAGATCTGAGATTTCAGAGGGTTAAACATCAACACAACTCAGCTCATTGTGTTATCTTAGAGTGCAGAAACAACCATGAAATCAGTGAAGACTGGTTTGATGCTAAAGAGAACGTGACAGGGGTGGACTCCTCAGGAACGCAGGAACATCTGATAGATCATGACGAACGGAACCCGAAGTGTATAGCAGGTTGGTTTTAGGGATTCACTGAAAAATTCTAACCAAGCTTATCTGAAAATAGTGCATGCTGGCTTCTGTGCTGATTCGGGAGATTGGATTATATATAGTGTTTTGTTCCTGTCTGTGGCTTTTCTTTATATGTATTTTAAAATGAGAAAACTGAATGGAAGACAATACTTAAAGAGCAAATCAGTTTTAAATGTTCATTTCTCTTTCAGAAAATGACTTAAGCCTTAGGGTTGGCAGCAGCAGATGCCTGCATTCTCTCCTCCTCAGAGCCGCCTCAGCACTGCCCAGCACTGCTCGGAGCCTCCTGTCTCCTGAGCCCTGGCAGCCACTTTTGGGGTGGCACATGGTCAGCCCAGCAGCTTCTCAGTGTCCGTCTGCTTTCCATGCTTCAATGATGCGTCTCACTTAAGCGGTGTCTGCACCGTCACAGTCTCTAATAGTTTATGATACAATTTTGTCTGGTGTCTGTAATGAGGGTTCTTTTTCGCTGGCGAATTGAACTGAAGCTTTCCCACCGATCTACATTCCCCACCCCTTTTGTTTTTTGTTTTTCCAAGACAGGATATCACTAAGTTACTAGTCCAGATCTGAGCTTGGATTTGAGCTCCTCTGTCTCAGCCTCCCAGAGCACTGGGAACCCAGGTGTGCACCACCATGCCAGATTCCCCTCTGCTGCTTTAATGACATTTATGCTACCTTTCTTGGCTTTTCCTGTCTGCTTCCATGGATATTTTTCCATAATATCAATAAATGTATTGATTTTTTTCTCTGTAGAGAAAGATGCTTATTGAGATTTTAAAACATAAAAAATAAAAATTTAGTGACCTGGTTTGTACACTCAGTAATAGGCACCCATAGTGCCTGTCTTTGTGCACGTCTTCTCACATGTGTGTGCTCAGTACACACTCACAGAGCAGCCATCTGAGTCTATGGCCATCTTTATACCAGTTCCTGTGGTAACCGTGTTTCCTCTCCTTGCCTGGTGGTACCCGTGGTCTCTTAGTGCCTGCTGTGTGTTTAGGATGCTTGCTGTCCTGGCTGCTTCTGAGATGAGGAAGTGCTGTGTGCTCTGCTCACTCGACATCTTCCCCGCCAGGGCGGATGCTTGGTGCACAGGGTCTTCAGCCGACATTTGGATTGGACTAGTGCAAGGAGAGGAGATGAATGTATATACAGTTTGGATGCTGTTATGAAAGGTGTTATTTCGTTAATTTCTCTCTTAGTGAGTTTGTTATGTGTGTAGAGGAAGGCTATTGATTTTTGAGTGTTGACTTTGTACTCAGCTATGCTACTGTATTTGCTTATTATTAAATAAGCAAATTACTAGCAGTTTTTTAGTGGAGTTTTTGGGATTTTCTGTGTACAGTATCATGTCATCTGCAAATAATGATAGTTTAACTTCTTCTTTTCCTATTTCTATTCCTTTTTCTTGTCTAATTACTCCAGCTAAAGTTCCAGAACTGATTGAATAAGAGTGGAGACAGTGGACATCCTTGTCTTGTTCCTGGTTTTAGAAAGTTTTCAGTTTTTATCCATTTTTTTATGGAATTGGCTGTTGGTTTGTCATAGATGGCTTTTATTAGATTGATATAAAGATAATCTGTTACAGTTTTCTGTAGAGTTTTCATTATGAATAGGTACTGGACTTTGTCAAAAGCTTCATCTGCATCTATTGAGATAATCATATGAGTTTTGTCTTTGGCTATGTGAATATGGTATATTTAATTTATGGGTTTCCATATGTTGAGCCATCCCTGTATCCCTGGGATGAATCTCACTTGATCACAGTGTATAATCTTGACAATTTGCTGCATTCTGTTTTCCAGTATCTTACTAAGGATTTTTGCATCACCATTCATTAGGGAGATGGGCCAGTAATTCTCTTTCTTAGTTGGGTCTTTCTCTAGTTTTGGTATCAGGGTAATGCTTGCTTCTAGGAATGAAATTTGGAAGTATTACTTGTCTTTCAATTTCATTAGAGTGAAAAGTAGTGCTGTTAGGTCTTTTCTGAATTTCTTCTAGAATTCAGCAGTGAATCCATTAGAGCCTGAGCTTTTCTTTGTTGATAGGTTTTTAGTTACATCTTCTATTTCATTTATTGATACTGGTTTCTTTAGGATTTTTATTTATTTATTTAGTTAGTTAGTTTTATCGGTACTGGGGATCGAACTCATGACCATGCACTTGCAAGGCAGGCGCTTATGCCACTGAGCTAAATCCCCAGCCCACTTTAGGGTTTTTATATCTTCTTGATGCAGCCTTGGTAACGCATATGTATCTAGGAATCTGTCCATTTCTTCTATATTTTCCATCTTATAAGAATACAAGTTTTCAAAATAGATATAGCTGTTCTTCTGAATTTCTGCAGAGTCTGTTGTAATTTTACCCTTTTATTCCTAGTTACATGTATTTGAGTCTTTTTTTTTTGGATAAGCTTAGATAAGTGTTTCTCAATTTTATTTAGTGTTTCAAAGAACCAGTTCTTCAATTCACTGATTCTTGATATTGTTTTTTTAGTCTCCAGTGTGTTAATTTTTGCTCTGATCTTTATAACTTCCTCCCTTGTACAAGCTTTTGGTTTAGCCTGCTCTTATTTTTCTAGAAGTTTGAGGTTCAACATTAAGTTGTTTATATGCACTTGTTCTGTTTTCCTGATATAGATATGTATTGCTATAAATTTTCCTCTTTTTTTTGTACCAGGGATCAAACTCATGACCTCCTGCTTGCCAGGCAGGTGCTTGTGCAGCTGAGCTAGATCCCTGGCCCTTAAATTTGCCTCATAAGACTGCTTTCATTGTGTCCCATAACTTTCAGTACGTTGTATTGTCATTATTATTCAACTGTAAAAACTGTCTCTTCTTTAATTCCATATGTGACCCATTGGTTGTTCAGCAGTTTAATTTCCATCTGTTTATGAAGTGGTGGTTTCTTCTGCCATGGATTTTCAATTTCATTGTACTGTAGTCTGATAGTATGCATGGGATCAAGTTCCTTTGATTTGCTTAAGTATGTTCTGTGAGCCAGTATATGGTCTGTTTTGGAGAATATCCCATGTGCAGCTGAGAAGAATGTGGATTCTGATGTTGTAGGGTGGAACACTCTATAGACATCTTCTGGGTCCATTTGTTGAAAAGTTTGATTTAGTTCTAATATTTCATTATTGATTTTTTTTGTCTAGTTGATCTTGCAACAGTGGGGTATTGAGGTCTCCAAATACAATTGTATTAGGACTTATTTGACTTTTCATGTCCATTAGTAATTATTTTATATACTTGGGTGCACTTGTATTTATTGCATATATATTTGTGATTGTTATCTCTTCCTCTTATATTGTACCCTTTATGAGGAGGTAGTGACTTTATCTGTCTTAACCAGTCTTGGCTTGAAATTCATTTTGTCTGCAAATAGAATAGCTACCCTTGCTTTTTCCTGGGTACTTGTCACATGAAGTATTATTTTTCATCCTTTTATTTCCAGTCTATGAACTTCTATTTGATTTAAATGTGTTTCTTGTAAGCAGCATATAGTTGGAGCTTGCTTCTTGATCCATTCTGCCAGTCTGTGTCTTTTGATTGGTAAATTGAGACCATTAACATTGAAGTTTATAACTTATATGTATTGACTTATCCTTGTCATGTTATTTTCCTGTTGTTGGCTTCCCACTTTAATTGTTTGCCTTCCTTGGTGGATTCTTTCTGTTGGGGTTCATGGAGCTGTAGACCTTATTATCTCTTTCTAGAATGTCTTTCAGAACATTTTGGAGTACTGGTTTGATGGTCATAAATTTCCTCAGATGTTCTTTGTTGTGACAGTATCTTATTTCTCCAATTTTGAAAGATAATTTTGCAGGTTACATCAGTTTGGGTTGAAAGCGGTTTTCCTTTTGAATTTGGAGTAATCCACCCCCAGGCTTTCCTTGACTTGAGAGTTTGTGCTGAGGAGTCAGCTGTAATTCTGATGGGCTTTGCTTTATAGGTGATTTGTTTCTTTTCCCTAACAGCTTTCTTAGATTCTATTCTTGTGTTGAATTTCTGGAATCTTGACTGATATTCCTGGCTGTAGATTTTTTGATCACTACTAGTTGTAGTTCTATATGCCTCGTTTATCAAAATGTCCAATTCGTTTTCTCTACCAGAAAAGTTTTCTGCAATGCCATTTGTGAACATTTTTAAAATTTTATTTGTGGTGTCTTCTGCTTTTTTTCACTGACTTCAATCAATCCTAAGTTATTTTTCTTTGTCTCATCTAGCAACTGCTGGATTGATTTCTCATGGTCCCTTGCCTTTTTTTGAGAAGCCTTTCTTTTCCTGGTCACTAACAGCAAGCCTGTCTTCAGTATCTGAGCTCCTGTCCTCACATTGGCCTAACCTGCTTTGAATACTTTCAGTGGAGTTTTTATTCTCCTGAATGTCTGTTTGAATCTGCCTTATGTGTTCCATTTCTTTGGTATGCTGAGCTTTCATAATTTTCTTAAGCTTGTCTATTTTTATCTGCTGTAATCTCACCAATCATGGTCTTTATCTGAGAGATTTATTTCTGATTTCATTTATCCAGAGCCTCATTCAGTTGCTTTTTTATCACTTTCAAGGAGCCAGGTGGGAGGTTTTTGGATTGCCCCACCTCATTGCCCCCTGAATTGGCCTTTGGTGCACTTGATGTCTGGGGTTGCATTTTGTTTCAGTATCTTCTCCTTTTTTCTTTCTTTTTGTAGTTTAATTCCTGAGGTGCTGCTTGTAAACTGCCTATGATGGGTTGCTTTATTGCTAGCACTTAGGATCCCCAGGTAATGACTGCTTCCTGAGGTATACTCCAGGTGTAGCTGGGTTTGAGCCTGGTGGAAGAGCTACCTCTTAAGCTGGTTGGAGATGAGAAGCTGTTGCTTGTTTGGCCCGGTCCTGGTTCCCTGACACTGTGCTACAGTATTTCCCGTGTCCCTTAGTCTCAGGTAGGGAATGCCAGGACCAACAGCCCCAGCCTGCAGTCCCTTGCGTCTGCTGCTCCCTCCACTGCCACGTCTTTGCAGTGGCCTCTGGGATCCCTAGCCGTCATAGTCACTGTCACCATGGGTCCACGGAGTCCCATCTCAGGGAGAAGGCGCCACCTGCTGCCTCCTTCATCATTGAAGTTTCTGTCTCTACTCTCTCCATGGGCTTCAGGTTGCACTTCAGATTCTTCCTGGGCCCAGGAGCCCACTTGCCTCCTTCTCATCTTCCTTGGGATGCTGTATTCCAGTGTCTGCGTTGCAACTCTCAGAGAGACTCCTTCTCTGCTGCTTATTGTTCTGCCATTGTGGTCTCTTCTTCCGCCTGTGTAAATTATAAAGAGAGTTTCAGTGTTTTGTCTTGAGGACATGTTAAATCCAAAATGAGCAACAAATTAAATAAATTAATGAAACTTAGGTACTCTTACCTAAACATGAAAGACTCTGCCTGAATATAGCAGTACCATTTCTTCTCTTCTTCTCTGCTTCTTCCTTCTCCTCTCTCCCCTCTTCTTTTTGTTACTCAATGAAAAAAGTAAAATTTACAAATCTCCCATTATGTAAACATAAAAGAATTATGAAGCATAAAAGTTACTCATAAAAATTCACTCAATGGGGGCCAGGGATTTAGCTCAGTGGCCTAAGTGCCTGCCTGGCAAGCACAGGGTTGTAAATTCAATCCCTGGTACCAAAAAAAAAAAAAAAATGGGCTGGTGATTTAGCTCAGCAGCATGAGGACCTGTCTGGCAAGTGTGAGGTCGCAAGTTTGATCCCCGGTACCAAAATAAATAATAAAAGATCTTTTTAAAAATTCACTCAACAGATACTTGTGTGGATCCTGACAGTAATTTCAGTCTCCATTCAGTGAATCTTTTTTTCATGTTGATTTTAGACCAGATTGTCTTCACCACAGAGTCACCACCACACATAAAAATGCAGCCTAAGAATTTTGAATATTGTTATTAAACAAAAACTATCTATAACCTAGTTTTGCAATTTCTAGAATAATGGTATTTGTCTCCTCTTTTCCTGGGTATCTTTACTATATCACAGAATTACATAGGTGCTGTTATCTTTATCGGATACAAAGGTTTTTTTGATATGCTGTTTCCTTGGTGAAGAAATTATATAAGGAGAGCTTTCTGACCACCAGCAATTGATACATTTTTTTATCTCCAGGAGACTTAGTATTAACCAGTCAAACTCTCTTTATTTTTAGGATGATATGTTTAGAGCTCAGAAACCTTAAAATCATATTCTAGGCTATTGTTTTCAGTCCACTGCTGGTATTTGCTGATGATTTTTAAATATATTTTGTAATTGAGGACAAAATAATGAATTGAACATTTATAGTTTTTCTTAAAAATAACAATACGGTAATGGTCATTTCTGTTTTATGTTTTCCTATAAGCAGAAATGAAGAATATTGAACCCTTAGTAAGAGAGAAAGGGTTTTTGATACATGTTGGTGGTCTCTGCCCTTCAGTATCTGAGGTATGCCAGGATTTCGAGGAGAGGGGTTCATTCATTGATTATTTATAATTGTTTCTTCTACCTTTCACAATTTTTTTCTCTTGTAGGCTGATTTGAGATCTTACTTCCAGAAATATCAAGTTTCTGAAATCTCAATTTATGATTCTTCTACTAATTACAGGTATGTCCCCCAAATTCAGTAAGTGCATTACAGTGTCTGCTGTGTACCAGAGGCCCCACCCTCAATGTCAGGCACAGCGTGACAAAGCCCAAGGCCACCCAGCCTGGAGTCTCAGGCACACGTCACTCTTCATCAGCCCTTTGTCTCTGCATCCTCTTTAACTTATTATGGCATATAGGAAAGTGACTGACCTATGTGATCACTTTATCCTGTTACATGCCAGTGCCTAGGGGAAGCAGCATGTATCAGTCGAGAGAATGGGCTCTAAAACACATGACTTTGGTTCAACACCAAGCTCTGTCAATAACTTGACAGATGAATTTGGGCAAATTACTTATCAATCTGTGCTTCAGCTTCTGCATCTGTCAACTATTAATGATAATAGTATCTTTATAGCATTATTGCAAAAATTATAAATATAAAAAATACACTAGAAATTAATCCTGGCCCACAGCAGGTGATCAAAAAGGTTTTTAAAGGGCCAGGGATTTAGCTCAGCAGCATAAGTACCTCCCTGGCAAGTGTGAGGTCACGAGTTTGATCCCTGGTACAAAAAAAAAAAAAAAAAGGCCTGGGCTTATGTTCAGTGGCATAAGTGCCTACCTGGCAGGCGTGAGGTCATGAGTTTGATCCCTAATACCAAAAAAAAGAAAAAGTTTTTAATTTTATTATTTCTGATTGGAATTTTTATTTTTATGGATTTATTTATTTATTGTGGTAGATGGCTTTTTTTTTCTTTTCCTCTGGTACCCGGGATGGAACTCACAACCTCACACTTGCCAAGCAAGCACTTAAGCTGTTGAGCTAAGTTCCTGGCCCAATAGATGGCTATAGCCTCTATATATAGTGACTTCTGATACCTCTCTGTGACATTGTCAAATTACTCAAAATAATAATTGTAATAATTTATAGAAATGGCTTGACTGTTTTACCATTTTAAATTATGACTACTTCAAATATAAAAGCATTTATCAATTAAGAATTTTATTTATAATTGGTATTGAAATTTATTAACAATATGCTTATCTTAAATGGAGGCAGTTAAGGTCATATGCTTTTTTAATTTGGCCTATTAGTAGGTTTGATGTTAATATATTTCACAGTGTTAAAGTATTAGTGTCTTGTTGAGTGTCCTTTTTAAAAAACTGTGTTTTTTTCTTATTTAAAGAGTCATAACTTTTGTGTGGAACTTTAGAAAACATAGTTAAATACAATGAATGAACTTAAAATGTGTCACGTACGTGACCAGTTTCCTAAAAGGAATGAAAAGCATTGTGTAGCCCACATATATACTAATAAACTAAAATAATAGAAAAGTTAAACATTAAATTTTAATATTAATAGAATGTAATTCTTTAAAACACTTACTATTTTTCGTCTTTGTTTTGTGTGTATTCTATTTTTTATTCCAAAGTAAATATAATACAATAACCTTTGCATTTATTTATTTACAAATATGAATTATTTTGAGACAGGGTGTCACTATATAGTCCAGGCTGGTCTTGAGCTTACCATGTTACCCAGGCTAGCATTCAACGTCTTGTGATCCTTCTGCCTCACCATGCCTGGGAGTAACCTTTGTATTTTAAGAACAGTTATTCTTGTGAAAGATATCTTTAGCTAATAGTTAGAAAGCTAAGTTTAAGGTATTTATGATGAACTTTTGGTCATGTGTTTTTATACTATAGATATGCATCTCTTGCTTTTAAGAAAAACCATGATGCAAATATGGCTGTAGAAGAAATGAATGGGACAGAAATAAATGGAAAATCAGTAAATGTGCGGCTTGTCAAAACTCATGGAGAGTGTAGATCACCACTTTTCTCAAAAAAAAGTTCAAATAATTTGGAGATAAGTTCCAACAAAGAAATCAAGCCAGGCTCCTCTGTTTCCACTTTGCCCAGAGCTAGGCCAAGGCAACTGGTATCCGAGCAGGACACTGAGCTTTCACCTCTGGACCAGGTTAGTGTCCTAATCGGTCCCACAGAGGCCATGCTTCCCTGGGTGTCTCTGTAGGTTAAATAACTCCAGGGCGGGCAGTGTTGAGGTAGGAATGAGAGCATCCATCAGACCTGGGTTTTGTGGTGGTGGTGGTTGTTTTGTGGTTTCCTGCAGGTCTTGGGCATTGCACCAGGGCTCCCCATGTGCTAGGCCAGCTCCTCAGTCAGTGGCATGATTACAGGCAGTGCCTCGGTTTACTTGATTGCTTCTCACCTTTGTCCTAATGCCCTGACTTGGTTTTTACACTGTCCTTTTCACTGCCTCTAGTCACGACATGGTATTTTAACATTGGCCATCCTTTTAAAAATGTTTTCCTTTCATCTCTGATACTGCATGTTTAGGGTGGATTTGGGGGTACACAGTTTCAATCCACACACGGGAGGAAGGAAACAGCATCTATGTAGGGTACCGGCAGATTGAGTAGAGGTCTGGGGACTTGGTTTCTGCCTTGTCTCTTGTGTGGTGCCTGTGGCCACTTCTGCTGCCCACTTCCATGCTCCTTTTCCTGCTTCTCTGCATACCACTGTCCTGTACCTGCGACTGCTTTCCGCTTCCCTTGGTTTTGTTCTGAGTAGCTCTGACTCTGGTGTTTCTACACAAGCCCATCTGGTCATTAGACTCACACCTTTGCTCTATACGTCAGCTCCACACTCTTTAGGCAGGAAGTTGAGCTGACCCGGCCCGTGGTTTTGGTGTGTAGTAATAGGGGAGACCACACTCTCAGTCCAGTCAGCTGTGGCAGTGGTCATGAGCGTGGCAAAGAAAAAGAGGGCCTGCGCACTTCAGGTAGCAGCGTGTTGCCTCGGTGTGTGGGTAGGGAAGCTCCCAGGCAGTATCTCTGCATCCTGCTCCCTCATCTTTCCAGCCGTTTCTTGTCCCCCTTATCTATTTTTTACAAATATTTATTCTATTCATTCTTTTAGGATGCCAAAAAGAATTGTAAACAGGTTGAATCTGCTCAGTTATTACAAAAAATGCCTATTCAGTTCATTCCTCCAAATACACTAAACCTCCGTAGCTTTACCAAGATCATCAAGAGACTGACTGAATTGCACCCAGAAGTCAGCAGGTAAAATGGAAACCATGTTTTAAATAATTTGGAACTGTTCTCTAATAAAGTAGTTCATTGTAATAATTCAGCCACGTTCAGAACATGCTCCTGAGGACAGTGCTGTGCGTTTCCTTTTGTGCAGAGACCACATTATAGATGCTCTTCAGGAAGTGCGGTTGAATCATAAAGGTTTCCTCAATGGCTTGTCTATTAGCACTATTGTGGAGATGACCTCGTCTCTTCTGAAAAGCTCTGCTTCCCAACAGGAGTAAAGAGGTAAAGTGTTTTTTTTACACTTAAATATTATAAGTTACTTCATTTTCTTCTCATTAAAACAATTTTAAGTGAAAATGCTAAGATATCGAGATAATACTATTAAAGTTAAAAATAAACATTGTAGGGCTGGGGGTGTAGCTCAGCAATAAAGTGTGTACTTAGCATGAGCAAGGCCCTGCGTTCCATCCCCAGCACCACACAAACAAAAGATTGTATTAGTTACTAATCCAGTGCCAGTTCCTCCAGAATTGATTATTATAAGCAGTGTTTATCATCTCAGCATTTGTAGACCAGGCGGCACTGTGCTTTAGCAGAGAGGTTCAGCTTGGGGTCTCTTGTGCTGCAGCTAGGGTGTCCATCTGACTGCGGTTGTCCAGAGGTTTGGCAAAGAGAAAGAATCTGCTTCTCAGATACTTGCTTACATGGCTTTCAGCAGGAGGCCCCGTTTGTCAGCAGTGGGCCTCTCTTTCCTCGTGGCATCATGCAGCCTTTAGTCATGACACATGCCTGAGTCACTGCATTCAAACTGATAGTGGTGAGGTGGGACGGGGCTGGTAGGTTGACTGCTGCCTCTTAAAGAAAGGAATATTTAAAAATTCATGCACACTGTAGTTTTTAAATTTCTACAGATGAATATAGAATCCCTTTCCTACGAATAGTGAATTAGAAGCTCTGTTTCCAGTTGTAGTTGTCTAGGTGATTCAAGCAAACTTTCCATTGAGAACAGTTAGGAAAACTGAACAAACATAAAAAATACTCAGAAACACTAAAAAGCTGTCAAGATAATGATCAGTTACTGGGACAGGATACCGAGAAGATGAGTTTCAGAGAAATATGCCCAGTTTTTCTCTAGTGTTATTTGCAGAGAAGCAGCCAGGAGCTGGAGAGACCCCTTTTAACAGCCCTACAACTAGGAGAGTGGGGTCTTGTCAGATTTACAGCCATGGGAGTGGGGCTGAAGTGCATCTTATCCTGAAGCAGAATCTCTCCTCCTACCACTTGGAACCTGGGCCACCTTTATGACTTGCTTTGACAAGTTATACCATTTCCAAACATCACTCTCAGAAATTTGTTACATTCACGTGAGGAAGCCCAGACAGTCTACCAAAGGACACGAAATCTACATGGAAGGCAGCCGAGGCGGGCCAGCCTATAGCTGTCTCTCCCTATACATGTAAGAGAGACCAGCATAGAGCATCAGATCAATCTGCCCAGCCTGGCAATTAGCCACAGTGTACCCATCCAAGATGACTGGAATCACTTATGGAAATTAGCCCATTGCTAGTTAGCAGATTTAAGGACAGACAGATGGCTGTTATTTTAAGCTACTAGATTTTGAAAGGGTTTACCAATATATAATAGGTGTGTTATTTTCAGAGACACAAGAGATAAGACTGGGAATTTTAGTAGATCATTTAAATATCTTAAAAATTAAATTCCATTTATGGCTGCTACTGAATACCCAATACCCACATCTTAAAGGGAAAGGTTTATTTGGCTTATGGTTTCAGAGGACTCAGTCAATGGTAGATGGCTCTAAGGCACATCATGGCATGGTATTGCTTAAGCATAAGAGAAGAAAGGGGCAAGGGGAGATATAGACCCTAAGGTCACAACTCTATGACCCATCCAGACACATGTAGAAGTGTGCTTTATTAATCCCCTGGATGACTCCCAAGCCAATCAATCTGATAATCACCTTGACTATCACATTTCATTAATGCAAAGTGAAGTAACTGAACATAGTAACTTAGTTAATGGGCACTATAGCAGATTAGACACAACAAGATTCTCTAATCTGGGTATATAGGCAGATGTCTGTGACCCCAGCACATGGGAAGCTGAGGCAAGAGGATGTGAGTTTGAGGCCACTGGCATTGCACAGTAGGTTCCCATCTAGCCAGAACCACTATATTTAGAAAGACTCTTCAGAGACAGAGAGAGAGAAAAGGAACTATGCATTTAAACACAAGGAATTAAAAAGAAAAAAATAATAGGTATGAGATAAACTAAGAAGTTCTGTTATTTGTGTAACAAGATTTTTAACAAAAGAACAAGAAAATAGAGCAGACACAGTCTTTCAAAATTTATGGCTAAGGAAAAATAAGAATTTCAGTACCTCAGAAAAAAATCATAGCAAATAAAAACCCTTAAAACAGCTACTTACCTTAAGAATACAATAATCAACAAAATTAAAAACTAAGTGAAATAAAAGTCACAAAAGGACAAATGCTGTGAGTCCACCTATATGCGATTCCTGGAGTAGTCAGATGGGAAGTAGATAGTGGTTGTCAGGATGGCCGGAGAGGAGAATAGTGTTTAATGGTTCTAGAGTTTCACGTCAGGAAGAGGAAAGTATTCCAAAGATCGATGACGGCAGTGGTTGCACAGTGTTAACATGTGTACTGAGGTATGTGCACTTGAGTGGTAAATTTTATGTATATTTCACCACAGTAAGAAAATTCTGTGATAGTATGGTAGGTGGCATGTGGACTAATAAAATATATCTTAAACGTAGGTTAAAAAGAAGAGTAAAAGGATACATAGAACAGTTAGGATAAGTAGAACATACTTAGAGAGACAATGAAAGCCCAGTTTTTCATTAAATATGAATATTTAAATTAACTATAAACAATGTAGATAATCAGAATAGAGTTTTAAAAACAAACTACTTTGTATAGTATCTCTGGATACACATGAAGTATTAGGGTATCAGAAAACAAAAGCATACAAACATAAATAACCATACTTTATTAACACTAAAAACAGGTAAACTTTAAGCTAATAAAATGGTTAAGAGAGAAGTATTTGGCTCATCAAAAATAAATGACAATTCTAAATTTGAACATCTAATGAAATACCTTCAAAATATATAAAGTGCTTCCAAAAGAACTCCCAAAAGAAATAATTGCAGGTCTGCAATTATCATAAGAGATTTTAACATAACTCCCTGTTAGAAGGCACAGACCAAAAAAAAAAAAAAAAAAAAAAAAAAAAAACCATCAATAATCTAGAACGTTTGAACTACCTTAAAAATCAACTTTTCATTCCCTGAACACACATATATAGAATATAGTAACAAGGACTGCACATTAAAGACCCTTCAGGTCACTTTAACTTTTTACAATGGTTGGCCATGTACTAGACTGGACAGTAAGTTTCAATAAGGCTTGGCAGACTGAAAAAAATCAGCCTTTTCTCTGACCACAGTGCCAGTAACCTGAAAGTCAGTAACAAGATGAGTAGGGACATGGCTGCTAGAAATGTGCTTCTGAATGCCCAGTAGGCGAGTGAGGGAGTCAGGATGGAAAGGAGGTGACGGTGAACACGGCCCACATCAGCCTGGAGGGTGCAGTCAGAGTGTGCTCACTGAGCAGATGGCCCTGATCGGCTCTGCCATAAAAGAAAGAGGTTTAGCTCAGTGGCATAAGCGCGTGCCTTGCAAGCAGGCAGTCGTGAGTTCGATCCCTGGTACCGATAAAAAGGAAAAAGACAAAAAAAAGAAAGTAAGTGAAGCCTAATGACCAAGAGGTTTGCAGAAAGACAACATGACCCAGAGGAAGTATACAAAACTGCTGAAGTGTAGAAATTCATGAAGTATAGAAATACAAACAGGTACATAAGTGAGGCATGGCTGCACATTCTTGTATTCCTAGTTGCGTGGAAGCCTGAGGTCGGAGGATCATTTAAGCCCAGAAGCCCGAGATCAGCCTGGGCAACACAGAGACTCTCAAAAAATAACAGAAGACAAAGGACAGACAGAGTAGGATGTGTGTACAAAACCAAAAGTGGATTCTCAAAGAAATGTAATAAAATATCAACTTTCTGTTGATAAATTGAATATGAACTCATATTAAATGATATGTGATGAAGCTTAAGAAAAATAGTCACAAAAAGCTAGGGTAAATAGCTCTTTTCCAAGAAAGGAACATCACTACAGATTTTATAGACAATGAAACTATATTGGGATAGTATAAATGACTAAAGTACTTTTAAAGTTTTAGATTACATGGGAAACCTTGAAAGGAAATTCAAATTAACAGAAATTATATTAGGACATACTAAAAATGCAATAGTCTTATTTAAAGAAATCAAGTCATAAAAACCTATAAAATAAAATTGAGACTCCAGTGTGTTTCTTGAGTTCTCCCAAGTAATTAAAGAAGAAAAACTCAGTGTTAAGATCTTCTAGAGAAACCAGCAGTCTTGACACCAGCACTGGAAAAACATCGCAAGAATGGAAGATTAACAGACCACTCTCACGAACAGGGATGCCAAACTTCCTAAATAAAATATGAATAAAATGAATCTAGTAATCTGAAAACAGTAAGTCTCTATGGCCAAATTGACTTTACTTCAGGAATGCAAGTTGAGCTAACATTTGAAAATGAATGTAATGTGCTGAGTGAATAAAGATGAAAAACCATTCATAGATGCAGAAGTAGCTGACAGAGTTTACCACCGAACACAGCAGCACTGTTAAGTAGGAAGAGGAACGCTTCCTTAACTGGAAGCCAGAGGCCCCGCTGCCCGAGACCGCCTTGGACTGGCCCCTAACAGGCTAACTTGCCTGTGTTTACTGATGCTAACAGAACACCTGAGATTCAAGTCAGCAAGGACAGTTCTTTGTCACAGCAATAGCAGTAGCCAGATAGCAGTTTTGTTCCTAGTTTCTTTAAGGGGTGTCAGTGCTGAACATACAACAGCGTGCATTAAGAATAAGCCCCACGTTTAGGGAATATAAATTATTTCTAAGTGGACTGAAGAAAATTGTCAGACCTTTATCGTGGCGGGAAACATACTAGACAGTAAATAAACTTCCCCTTTGGAACAGAGTTTATGACTGCATAAAGGCCAACATGTAGATGTCTCCAATCCTTCTCAGTTACAGAAAATGACACAAAACCTTGTGCGTGACCCAGTAGCCATTTGCCAGTGCTGGCCTGACAGCCTGGTGAAGTGAGGTTTTATTGTCCCAGGCTAAGCACTACCATTCTTGGAAATGATGGAACCGAAAAAAAATACTGTCAGTGCCCTGCCAGAAATGCTGATAGTCTCTGGGAATTGTGTCTAGCAGCAGCCACGTACTTTAATAGGACATGGCATCATCAGATGTCCATCAGCCTCTGCTGCCCACTATTGTCCTGGGGATTCTAGCCAGGAAAAAGAAGCTGTAGACATCTGAATGGGAAAAACACTACTCATGACCCAGAAGACAATTAATGCTGTGTGCAGGAAATGCAAAGATCCTTTGCACAGACTGCTGGATTCAGAAGAATTTCTGGGTTTAGATAGTTCTCAAAAGGCAATTTTAATTCTACAGACTACGCATAGTGTCAGAAAATATTCCTGGTACCATTTAAAATACCAGAGGCCCAGCAGTATATTTAACAGAAGATATGCAACACTTTTGTCTGAAACTGTAAAGCAGAGAAATTAAAGAAATTCTAAACAAACTGAAGGATTAAACGGCTCTGTAGTGTCAAGTTACTTGTTCTCCTTAGCTTGTTAATACATTTGGTGCAATCCTAATAAAAATCCCAGTAAGTGTTTTTGTAGACCTCAGTAAGCAGTGTCTCAGAATTCTAAGAAAATACCAAATATTTAAGAATAACCAGAACAGTTTTTAAGAACAATAAAGGGGTTTGACTTTATCATATGTTCAGACTTGTCATAAAGTTGTAATAAGGTAGTGTGATCTTGGCATAATGACAAATAGGTGACAAGAAGAGAGCTCCAGGACGATTGTGTGCATAGGTAACCACTTGATTAAGGTGAGCATGGCATTGAAGAACAGCAAGGAACGAACCATCTTTTCAGTAAATGGTCCTGGGTCATTTAGATTTCCATAGTAAAAGAAATTCCCACCTGTCAGTTTGGCAGCCGGTGAAAATGGAAGAAAAGCTCTCCATGTTTTTAAATTTAAAAGTCACGCGTGCATTTACGTGGTGACCCAAAACTTCACCAGTCTGTGTCAGATGTACACTGGCAAGTGTGAAATGTCTCGTGAGTCCGTCCGTAATCACCCATGGTGGGAAATGCATACATGTGAACTGGCTATTAGGAAGTTATAGAAAATAAGAAAGGTCTAGACACTGATGAGAAAAACATCACTAAGTATCTAAAATAAGGAAGATAATACAGTGTGATAGCTCTCTTTAAGAAAGTGGGACTATAAATACTTGTACACACACTTGGTCATAGTTGTGAGAAGAAACTCTGGAAGGAAGCTGACCAGATGATTATGGGGGCGGAGTGCAGTGGTGCACACATGTAATCCCAGCATTCTGGGAGACTGAGGCAGGAGGATCTCAAGTTTGATCCTGCCCTGGGCAATTCATTGATTTGACAAGAATCTGTATCAAAATTTAAAAAAGAAAGAAAAAAGGGCTATGGATATGATTCAGTGCCAAGGTCCTGGGCTCAATCCCCAGTACTGCAAAAAGAAAAAAAAGTCTTATTAAATCATGGTTATCATTGTTTGCATATTGATATAGTAACTTATGAGTACCCAGTACTACCAAAAAAAATTCAAAAAATGTAAATACCTAGGAACCAACCTAGTCCATAGGTGACCTTTATAAGAAAGATGTAGAATGCTGAAGAGATTGAAGGGGATGTTAGAAGATGGAAGCTGGGCGTGGCGATACACACCTGTCATCTCAGCATTTGGGAGGCAGAGGCAGGTCCAGGCCAGCCTGGGCTACACACTGCATTCAAAGCTAGCCTGAACTATGAAGTAAGATCCTGTCTTAAAATCAAAACAAAGATATCCCTATTCCTAGATAATAAATATTGTTAAAATAACCCTCTCACCAGAACCAATTATAGCTCAATGCAGTCCCTATCAAAATACAAAAAAAATTTTACAGATCTAGAAAATATCCTCAAATTTGTGATGAACCAGAAGAAACCCAAAGTAACCCAAGAAGTCCTGAGCAAAAGGAACAAAGCAAGAGGCATCACAACTCCACATTTCAAGCTGTAAAACCGCGAAGCTCTAGTAACAAAAATAGCATGTGACTGGCATGAAAATAGGCATAGGCCATGAAATGGAATTGCAGACAAAGACACAGCCCTAGGCACTTTCAGTCATCTGAGTTTTCACAAGGAGCCCACAACGTATGTTGGAGAAAAGACAACCTCGGACACAAATGGCACTGGGCAAACTGCTCATCCACATGCAGAATAAAACTAGATGATGCCTCCTGCCCTGAACTAAAAATCTAAACAAATCAAAGACCTAGCTACAAAATCAGAAACTCTGAGACTGCTACAAGATGACAAAGTGGAAGCACTCAGGGCTCTCACCACACAAGGATTTTTGAACAGAACTCCAGTAGCACAATAAGTGATACCAAGAACCAGCAGAGGGGAGTACAGCAAATTAAAAAGCTTCTGCACAGCAAAGCAAACAACCTACAAAGTGGGGAGGGGGCTTTTGCCAGCTACTCTTCTGTTAGAGAACTAATAGCTAGATGATATAAAAACTCATAGATTGACCCCCCCAAAACCAATGTTCCTCTCAAGAAATGGGCAAATGAACTGAATAGATTCTTCTCAAAAGAAGTAATAACGGCTGCTAAGTCCATGAAACGATATTCTTCATCTTCCACTGTAAGGGAATACAAATCAGAAGAACTGAGATGCATCTTAGCAAGTCAGAATGGCTGGAGTCAGTGCAGAGAACAGATGCCGGTGAGGAGTGGAGAAAAGGCGCCCTCTGTGTGGGGACAACACTGGCATAGCCGCTGTGGAAAGCCATCTCAGCTCTGAAGACAGCCTTGATGCTCCCCAGCAGGCGGATGGAGAGAATGTGTCAGAACACAAGGACAACCTACTCAGCCTGAAGGTTTGAGTCATGTCATTTGCAGATGCTGGATGGATCTTGAGGCCATTGTGCTAAGTGAATTGGCAGACACACAGTTAAACATCATATGGTTTCTCTCATGAGACACCCAATTTTAAATAAAAGACTAAAATAAGACAGATGTTCAGAAGATAGACAGCCCCAAAACAAATGGAAGTATCATGTACTGCAAACACACCAATAAAAACTGCAAAACTAATATAAAAGATTATCGGAAGAAGAGACAGTGATAGAAAGCAAATGTCTCTGAGTATAATAGATTGAGTTTCAGCTTTGGAAGTTAAGCTTTGTGCAATATAAAATTTTAAAGGAAAGATCTTTAAAAAGAAAAAAACTAAAATATTTGCATAAAATTGGTTACAAAACTACCTAAGAAATTATTTCATTTACATTTTTTTGTTTTGTTTCTTTTGTTTTGTCTTTTTTGAGACAAGATCTTACTATGAAGTTCATGCTGGCCTTGAGCTCACTTTGTAGCAGTGATCCTCCTGCCTCAGCCTCCTGAGTGCTAACACTACAGGAGTATACCACCATGCCTGGCTTCATTTACATTTATATAACATTTTAACTGAACTTCAGGTGATGAGCTACCAAGATCATAAACTATTTAGTTGTCTAATAGTAATATTTTGAAACTTATATAAAGGGGATAATTAACATTAGAAGCCAAAAATAGGAAAAAATATAGTGGTAGAAAATCAAACCTTAATTTAAATATTCTGTATTATTCCATATGAAAGTACGAAGTATGAAGTTAAGATTTTGTATTTTAAAATATAAAATCCCTGTCTTGGCTCTGTACACTGAACACAGCAGCAGTGGCAGCTGAAGGGGGCTGTGCACCAGCCTCCAGATGGTCACCTCTGAGTACTGTTTCCTCTTTCTTTTTCCTCTTCACATCTTTTTAGCCAGAAATTTAGATACATTGCTTTGTATTTCCTTTCTTAATGATATCTTAACTGCTACCTTGCTCGTACCTTCCGTCATCTACTTAGCCTGGTCTTGGTGTCTCCAAGGTCTCCGGTAGTCAGTTACAAGCTGAAGGCAAAAACTGCAGCTCCTCCAAAGCAGCAGCCAGCACTCCCTCGTCGGCCTTTTGAATGCACGCAGGCTGCTCCCTAGGGTGGTGCAGCACTCACACTGTCTGCATGCCCTCCCCTTGCTTAGGATGAGGGTGTTACTTTTCTGGACTAATAGTCAATGCATTTTAATGTCAACTTCTGCCTTCTGTTCCTGGCCCTATCTATAGAGCTTCCTTGGAAGGCGTGGGTGCTCATCTCCAGAAAATGTTTGGCGGCACAAAAGAAAAAGTTGCAGTAAAGCAAGACTGATATAATTAAGTGGATTCTGTAAGGGCGCTTAGCTGTTAGTTTGCTTTATAGTTCTCCTAAAATCTGGCAACATGTATGTATAATATTAAGGTCTTATATAAAATACAGTTTAATAGGCTTTAAACTTTATTTCAATTTTGTGTAAGTTGCATATTTTGAATCAGAAGAAAAACTGTCATGCCCATTTTAAAAACCCTTTGTTAAGTAAATGTTAAAAATATATTGGCCAAGAGGTTCATTGTTACTGTTTCAGAGTTCATTAAATGGTTTCCATACATAGCCTGAAGTTATATCTTTATTCCAGTTTTTATTTGTTTAATAGTCTTACATTGGAGTATAGGATAACAGGCAAATACACTAAATTAAATCTATAGACATACATTTTAAAACGTTTATATTTTTAAGCACTATAGGTAAGTAAATTGGCTGGGTGTGATGGCACACACTTATAATCCTGGGGCTTGGGGGCTGAGACAAGGAGATAGGAAGTGGGAGTCCAGCCCAGGCAACTTAGCAGCTTAGTGAAACCCTGTCTCCAAAGATAAAGAAGGGCTGGAGATGCAGCTCAGTGCAGAGCCCCTTGGTTAAGTTCCCAGTACCACAAAAGGCAAATTAAAAAAAAAGAAAATGATTGCTGTTACACTTAGTGCATTTTTATGCTTTATGACTTTAGTATAAAACAGTCAGACGTGTTCTCACAGAGAAGGGTGAATCAGGGTAGTTTGGTAAAAGATTCTACTGAAATTTAAATTATCACTATATTACTTGTGTTTCTTTTGTGATAAATTCCATTGTATTAGGTTAGGATGCAAGCTGAAAGGCTAGTTTGATGCCCTATGTAATAGCAAAATAGAATATAATATAAACTTCTTTAATTGCCTATACTTTTAACATCCTACCACAGTGATATATGTGCACCCATGTTTATAGCAGCACAGCTTATAATAGCCAGATCCTGGAAACAACCTAAATGTCCATCACTTGAAGAATGGATAAAAAAGATGTAGTATTTTATACAATAGAGTACTACTCAGTCATAAAGAATGATAAACTGGACACTTACAGGTAAATGGACGCACCTTGAGAACATACTCTTTAGTGAGATAAGACACACGTATGTGAACATTGTATTGTCTCATTAGTGGGACAAACTGAAAGAAATAACATGTATATGTGTATGTATATTAAAAGTAAGATAGTTATACTACTTATTTCTCTGAGTTCGCTGTAGAGAAATACTTGTACTGGTTAAAAAAAAGCAAAAAGAATTGCTTGCTTTTTTAAAGTAACAAAACTTACAGTTGAAAGTTACATTTTATTAATAGTAGAATTAATATTTAAGGATGATTTTCCTTTTCCAAATGTTCAAAATGTGTAGGCCACATCCATTTCTGATTTGGTGTCATTGGGTGAAAAGTTTCCCATTTAGCACAACACTGAGGTTCCATGAAGGGTACTAGCAAGAAACTGACCCCTGACCAATGCTGGCGGGGCTATGGGGAGAAGGAACCTTCTGCAGCGCTGGTGGGGGCGCAGGCTGGTGCAGCCACTGGAAGTCAGTGTGGTGCTTTGTAAGAGATGCCCTGGGTAGCCTCCCTTGAATGCCAAGCAGTTAGACAGAACCCTGTCTTCATGCACTGATGGGTACAGAGCGGGCTCTGCTATTTCCTTCTCCTGTAGAGCCTAGAGCCCTTGGCTCTAAGCAATGCTAATGAGGCCACCCCACCCGAGGCACTGAAACTTAACCTTTAAGGCCACTGAAACTTAACCTTTAAGGCCAACCGACATTTTCCTGTTTTCTCACAGTGTTCCCTGTAGAATGGTTGAATGCAGCGGGATGGCAGCGCAACCCGCAGCTCCTGGGATGTCAAGTGGGTATGAGCCTCAAAATAAAAGACCATGGCCCAAGCTACAAAAGTTTCTATATCAGAAACTGAAGCAGCAGCTGCCCAAATTCACTCACATGCTGTCCCAGTTGGGTCATGCAGATTGGTCTTTCTGCGCACCCTTCTCCCAGTGTGTTGCCCTCCACCTGGCCAGCTCAGCTCACGCTGCTCACACAGTTCCCACCAATCCCATCGTCACCCGTCCTTGAGCCCCATCGCCTTCTTCACGAGATAATAAATTCTGGGGGAGGCTCTGGATCAGGACCTTTGTTCCATGTACCCTTACCTGGACCAGACTCAGAACCCCTCGGCTGCCCGTAACTTTGCATATGTCTTAGTGTCTCTCTTCTCACTGTGGGTTGCACTGGAGATAGTAGATTGGAATTAACTCACTAGGAATCCAATAACATCTCAATGGGATTCCAAATAAAATTTCCTGAGTCATGAGGAGGACATGAAAAGGGATTACAGTGTTTGGGTTTACAGTAGAGTCCTCAAAAGACTAAACCTAGAGGTTCCGTATGATCTCCACTGGTCCCCTCTGGGTATCTTCCCCCAAGAATTAAGAGCATCACACACCAGTGCTACACACACCCCATTTGGCAGCACAGTGTGTGACAGCTTTACTCTGGAAATAGCCCAGAGGCCTGTCAGTCAGTGAATGGACGGAGAAGACATGGAGTTTCTAAACAATTGAGCACCACCCTGCCATACAGGAGGATAAGCTTGAGACGTTCCCACTAAGTGGACGCACCTAGACTGTACTTTCAAGTGAAATAAATCAGACCCTTTCACCGATGTGAGAAACCAAAACTGTAAACAAGGACCAAAATATATAATAGATACTGGGAAATGGAGAAACCTGTCCAAATGGGAACGGGACTGAGGGATGAGACAAGGAAACAGGAAAAAATGAAAACAGCTTTCATAACTAAAGATGGTAAAAGGAGAGCAGGCAAATGAGGAAAAAGCACGATATCTCATGTGCAAGGGGCAAATTCCCTGAGGTTTGTGACCATCTTCTAGTGTATGAGTCAAAGGGAAAAATCACCCATTTAACATTTATGTTTGGTATACTTACATATAATAAAAGTTCATCTATAGTTCCACTATAAATAATACTTTCTGCAAGTGGAGTGGAGTTTTTAAAACTGTTGTGTGATACATCCGTTTAGGAATTGGTATGTGTATTACACATATGTTTTCTTCATCATTGTGAGCCCCTTTATCCACTGCTCCGCCTCGTCTTCCCTCTGACCCTCTTTCCATCTCCAAAAGCTTTGCCCCCTTGTTTCCCACAATTTCTCCATTTTACCTTTTGATTAATTCATGTTTGGGGTTTCTCACAAGAGAAGCCATGCAATACTTAACTTCATGTCAAACTTATCTCACTTGACATCAGTCTGCTGTAGTCATCCAGGCTGTTGGCAAAGCTTAGCTGTTGCGCACTGCCAGCTGTGGACATGACTGTACGTGTAGCGGCACGGTACTGAGTAGCACCTTTTACTCCTTTGGGGCCAGGCCCAGAAAGAGGCACAGCTCAGTCTGACGGGATTCACGTCCAGAACCACAGCACCCTGGACGTGCTCCAGCTTGTCCGGTGGAATTTTAACTTGCTGTTTTTTGAGGAATCACCTCTCCTTTCCTATCCTTACCCCTTTTGTATTTCTCTTAACTGATCACTGGCTAAAGTGCTGCGTGCCACACTGAATAGGAGTTGGACTAAGAATTCAATGGTATAAAAATGTGTTCACTGAGACTTCAGGAAATGTTCCTAATCTAGGGAGGAAAATGGACCCCAGGCAAATGAGACATTTAGAACCCCAAACAGACGTGATCACAGAAGAACCTCTACATACCACATGGCCAAAATCCCAGAAATTCAGAACAAAGTACACTCAGAGCTGTTAGAGAAATGTCTAACATCTTCCAAAGGCAAACATCAGAGTAACAGTGGATTTTTCAGCATAAGTCTTAGAGGCCAGGAGAGCTTGGAGTGACATTTTCCAGCCCTGAAAGAAATGCTTGCCGGGCCAAAGTACTGTGTCCTGTGGCAGTCCCCTTCTCGGCAAGTGGGAGGGTATAGATCTCTGAATACACCACATCATAGTGATGCCTTCAGACAGCTGCTTGTCAGTCCCTCTGATCAGTCAGAAATAGTATAGCTATATCTTGAGTTCTCTGGAAATTCATCCACTTCAGGTCCTGTAAAACCAGCTTTTGGGGACTTCAGAATTTGGAGGAACATCTCGTAGCCTTTTCTCCTGATTCTTGGGCTGAAGGCTGTTGATGAGCTGGGGTAGAATGCTGTGCGGCTAGAAGAGACCTCCGTAGTAAGAGGGCTTCTCCCTGGTGTGCTGCATAGGTAGTTCAGTGTGCAGGCACCCGCCCTGCCTCCTCCGGGCACTGGGTCTAGTCCTTAGCACCATCTTCCAAGGGCAGGACTAATGTCAGGACTGACAGCACCCAAAGAAGAATCGTATGGCAATACTTAATTTAAAACTGGTTTATTAGCTGGGTATGGTGGCACACACCTGTAATCCCAGCACTCGGGAGGCCGAGGCAGGAGAATCACTACAAGTTTAAGACTAGCCTGGGCTACAAAGTGAGTCCAAGGCCACCTGAACTGTATAGTGAAATCCTACCTTAAAGAAGACAAAACAAACCTTGAAAGAAGTTGAAACTCAGGCCAGGTATTAGTGGCCTAAGTGCCTGCCTGGCAGGCATGAGGTTGTGAGTTTGATCCCCGGTACCAAACTGAACAACCAGTAAGAGTAGCAATGAAGAATGGGCTAACAAATAGAAGAAAGAGGAAGGGGCGAGTACAAAAAGGGGGAGGAAATCGAGACAGAGAGAAGTTAGGTTTACGCCTGGACTGCAGTGTGAGGGCGAGGTCTGCCTGACTGTGAGGGATGAAGACAGAGAAGAGGGACCAGGAGAGGAAAAGTGAAAGGCGTGTGTGTGTCAGAACCAGCAAGTCACACAATCCAGCCTGTAAAGAGCCAGTACTGGAGGAGGTGAGAAGCTACCCTTGGTGAAGGAGAATCTAATGGGTCCATGGGAATCACTGATAAAGCGGAGTCATTTCTAGGGAATTGGATGCATCTTGATACCATAATGCTCATCGAGGTAAATCAGACAGGAAAGGCTAAACCGAATGGTTTCTCTTCTATGAAGAAACCCAAAACAGAGAGCAAAAGATGCTAGGGAGAGGCTTTGTGGAGCTAGGAAGAGGATCTAGACAGGGGAGATGGAAGAGGAGAGGAAGGGGTGGCAAAAATGGCTTCAGAGGTGCACCAGTTCCTCAAGATGAATGCAATTATCATGCATCATAAACTTCAAAAAAACTGGCGCATTCCTGCAATCCCAGCACTTGGGAGGTTGAGACAGGAGGATCACCACCAGCTCAAGGCCACCCTGAGTTATACAGTGAGACCAAGGCTAGCCTAAAGTACAAGGCAGGATCCTGTCTCAAAAAAGAAATAACTAAAACAATAAAAGACTATGTTTGATTGTGGTAAAATACAGAAAAGATAATTTGAAACTATAAATTTCAGGGTTTTTAAATAATAAAGTTCTCCCTCAAGAACGGAAGGATCCAGCAACCTCTGCAGATCAGAGGGCAGCTGCGTGAAAGGTGTCCAGCCTGTTGGCCTTGAGAAGGGGAGACACTCCTGAGTTCTCTGGCCAGAGGACTTGAAGAAATGGCCACACACAAATCCAACCCACTCCTGCTGGCCAGGAACCAACAAAAATCAAGGCGGCAGAAGCTCCCCCAGCGCCACTAACACCATTGGTTTAGCCCAGGGATTGCATCTGACCTCTGACCCCTGACCTCTGAGAATCTGTTAATATAGTTTGCTTTGCTGTGTTTCATCAGCAAGCGAAAGGTAATATAGGACACTGCTGTCTCCAGGAAATTGTCAGCAATACTACAAGATTGTTCACAGGTTTTGTATATCTATACAGGTTCTGTGTATCTTAACCTGAATTTGCAGGGTGTGTGTGTGTGTGTGTGTGTGTGTGTGTGTGTGTGTGTGTAAATCTCCAGCTGCACCTATAGATGCAGAGCTTATGCCCTGATCGAATTGTGACAGTGGGGTGGACAGATCAGCATCTGTGATTTGTATAATGGATATTAACCAGTACTTGTGACTCTAACTTCCAAAAGGCTGAGCACCAAGCCCAAAGCTGACTAATAATACACTGCTTAAGCAGAATGCAGGCTCTGAAGTGGTTTTGGGTTTCAGATTCCTACTCCAACTTTGTCAGCTGTGATAGTCCAACAAGAAACGGTTTCTTTGTGCTTTGGTAGCCTGGTCTGTAAAAATGCTGAGAAGTATCTGCCCTGGCTGTGTGGTACATCTTTTGGGGAGGTCACTTCCTCTTTGCTTTACTGTAGTAGCCTTGTTTTACTTCATGTGTTCTTATTTTTGCTTTTCTTCTATAAATGCCTCAATATTTCTCAGAATATTCCTAACATTTCTAAGAATCAGGCCTCAATACTTCTAAGAATCAGGTAGGGTACAGAGCAGCATATAAGGCCAGGCACACTTCCTTACAAATGGTAAAAACAGAACTTAAAGTACAGCACAAAAAACTAAAGATGAGTGCTCTGGATTGAGAACTGCACAGTGTTTGTCCACAGGAAGGCCGCCAGAGGCTCTAGCTGCCTGTGTAACCACACAGTCCTCAGAATTAGCAGGCCCAGACCACTTGCTTTGCTCAGGGGATGGTACTTGGCTCACACGGCTCCACCGGCACCCTCGCAGGGAAGGGCTGCTGGCGAGCAGCAGGCAACCTCCAGGGAGAGGCATGATCAGAGGCGCGTCACCTCTGATGGTACCCAAGGAGCTTCTGCCCAGACTCTCGCCACATGAGCACCCACAGATACACGGATGTGCATGCAGAGCAGCTTGGGCACACGAGACCTCTGGCTGCACTGTCCCCATGTTCGACACCGCTCTGCGGGCTGGCGCACTCCCCTCCCACACACGCATACCGTCTGGATGTGGACTAGGGAACGAATTGGCAGGTTGCATCTGCTGACCACTTGGGCCCTTAGAGAAGCTACAGAGCCTGGGGACCGTGGGCTCACACCGCATACCACTCCCCAGTGCTGCCGGGAGAACCGTGGTCAAACATCGGGACCAGGGAACACAGGGCCTCTCCTGCCTCCCAGGGCTCCACTGTTCTGGTCCAGAGTCCAGCGCGATGCCCCTCACTGCATTCAGTGACCGCGTTCCCATCCAGGCCCAGAATGGTCAAGTTTCTTCTTGAGTTTCGGGACCTTTATGCTTGGTGGATGTGGCTTAGGAATCTGTACAAGGCCTTCGAATGTGGGCTTATCCAGCACGTGCTCCCCATCCCTTGCTGAGACTTCCCAGAAGCGCCGTGCCCTCAGCAGTACCGGTCTATGGATCTGTGCCGCACGCCTCATAAGCACTTGTCCGGACACATGACTGAGATGGCTTTGGCCGGGTGTCACCACTGTGCATGCCATGTCCTGCCTTTGTAATTGGGAGCTCTCTTGCTCTGGGTCTACACATAGCTTTCCTAGAAGTTTTGCTTTTTTGTTGTTGTTGTTGTTGTTAGTTGTTCTGGAGATTGAACCCGGGGAACACTGAGCTACCTGCAGCTCTTCTTTTTGAGATAGGAGTCTTGCTGTGTTCAGTCCTCCTGCCTCAGCCTCCTGAGTTGATATTTTCAGGTAATGGCAACAGAAAGTAAACACCAGTGGTTTCGTGGCTCTTCCATGCTTTGTTGTGTGTGTGTGTGTGTGTGTGTGTGTACTTTAAATTGTCACAGGATGTAGTTGTTACCCAGGAATCATCTAATGTGAGGGAGGAGGACACTGGAAACTGAACCCCTGGCTTCACACAGAGCTATTTGCCTGGCCCTTTTAACCCTTCAATGCCTGGTCAATCTCTTTTGGAAAGCCCCTAACTGTGGAACATCATGAAACACATTCTCTTCACATTTTTGTCCCTTAAACATTTTAGGTACCATACATGAATTTCACAGAAAAAAATTTTAAAATGCCAATTTTTGCCTTTTTTTTTTTTTTTTTTTTTTTTGGAGACAGGATCTTGCTACTTTGGTACAAGGCTGGGCTAGAACTTGCAGTTGCCCTGCCTCAGCTTTCCAGAATGCTGATGTCGGAGGTGTGTCCCCTCGCGCTGGCAGATCTTGTTCTTGAAGTGGTGCTAGGTGGCACCAGTGCGGCCTGTGTCGTTCTCCTTGAGTACTGAAGCAGTCCCTTAACTGGTCTCTGGCGTTCTGTGCTTCAGGATATTTCCCCTGTGGTTGCCGGGAACCAGAACTACTGCTGTCTAGGGTGAAGTCTTTCCCTGCCTCAGGGACAGCAGTGTGCAGAGACTACAGGGGACTCTGGATCGCCCCAGTGCCTTCTCCTGACAGCCCCTTCTCTCCCTGCCAACCCTGGCGCCCGGCTTTCCCCCTCTGTAGGGTGGAAGCTCCAGGGAGCTCCCCACACTGCCTGTCGTTTGGTGTCACAACTATCATTTCATATATATTGTCCAAGTTTCTGCTTATAGCAGGAAAATAAGCCTAGCATTTCTTCGTGGTGACTGGGAGCGTCAGCTGAGGTTTGCAGAAGTGTGGACCAGGTCCCTGGAGCTGGTGTCCTCCTGCCCCGAGGACAGTCCCTCCTTTAACTTCCGGACCCTGCCCTCGGACCAAAAGGCTGCCTGACACTCCTGCAAACGCAGGTGTCTAACGTTTCCTGTGACCGAGGTGAGACGCGAGCACTTCGAACAAGCCATGAGGTGCCGCCGTCGCCAGACTCAAGATGTTTCTGGGAGTCGCCTCCAGACCTCTGTAGAAAAGGGGAGCTAGAGGGACGGGCTGCGCAGTTTATCTGGCGCCTGCATCCCCGCGCAGAGCCCCGGGCGATGCTGGCCCAGCCCCGTGCCGGGCCCAGCCAAGGCGCACGACCCTTCACCGTGTTCCCGCGGCGCAGTCATCAGCTGTCCATGAGGGCGCCGAGGGTGAAGCTTTGACGACTGCAGGGCAGAGCTGGGCCGGCTGCTCACGGCCGCCTGCAGCACAGGACGTGGTGTCCACGAGTGCAGTGGGGGCCTCCGGGGTCTCTCAGGGCTGACCCTCAGAGAGAGGACGCTGCCCTCCCCGCCACGCGAGCCGGCCTCGCTGTGGGCCACCTGCCACCAGGTGCAAGGCTACCAGGGTGCCCTTGCAGCCCACTCCGGGCCGAGGCAGCCTCGCTGTCAGCGCGCCGCGCCTGGGCCTGGCCAGCAGGGGGCGGCAGCCCATCGGCCTCGGGTTCCGTGGCGGCGGGGCCGGCGGTCCGGCCGCAGTGCTGCCTCTGCCGCCCAAGACGGACGGTCCCCGCGGCAGTGCCACTGCCCGGTCCTGGGCTCCATCCTAGGTGAGGCCAGAGCCTCGGAACCCGCTTCCGCCCGGACCACTACCGCTCCGTGTAGCCCATACGAACGCCCACACACGCCCCGCAGTCCACCCGCAGCTCCGCGCCCCGCCCGTCACCTCCATGCGCGAGCCCTGTTGGTCCCCTGGGCAGCCTCCCGCCGCCCCTCCGGGACCCTGCGTGCTCCGGCCCCGACCCAGGCCTGGGCAGGGTCCGCGGCCCTGAGCCCCAGCCCGGTCGCGAACGCGGGCTCTGGATTCAGGGACTCAGGGATTCAGGGGTTTAGCGGCTGACTCGGGCTGAGGGCTCAACGGCTCCAGATTTCACGGGTTCGGGGGTTCGGGTGCTCAGGGGTTTAGGAGCTCAGGAGCTCAGGAGTTCCCGGGTTGCGGAGTCCCGGCGCCGCACCGCCCGCAGGTGCTGCCGCCCGCCGTAGCAGAGCCGCAGTGGGCTGGGCCGGGCCGGGCCGCGCCACCTCCCCCGCGCGCGCCCCCCGCGCGTCCCCGTCCGCGGCGCAGTCCTCGTACTCGCGGGCGCGGCGCACTGCAGCTCTGCTCGGCTCGGCCCCGCTCGGTGTCGCTGGGCGGCTCTGCTCCCTCCGCTCGCCATGGTCCGGGTGCTGCGCGGCCTCCCGTGGCGCGGCCTTTGGCTGCTCCTGGGTGAGTAGAGCCGGCGCGGCGCCCCAGGGACCCGCGGGGCGGCATTGCGCACACCTTCCACCTTTCTCCTTCTACCTTCCGGGCGCCAGCCCCAGGCGAGGCGGCTAGGGGCGGGCGGAGCCGGAGCGGGCACTGCCCAGGCCCCGAGGACCGGCGCCTGGGACCTTGCTTTTTGGGAGGACACAGGTTGGGCACCCCTTCTCATTCCCCTTGCCGCAGTCCTCGTCGCCAGCAGGGTGAGTGCGGGCCGCCGTGCTTTAGCAAAATGCAGAAGCAGCACCTGGCAATCCGGTGCACCAGAATGGGAACCACGGCCCTGCCCGTTTATCTGGACAGTAATTAGCCAAAACTGAACACCTGACTTCGTGCCCCCCAGCAGCTGCTTATTTAAGCCGAGTCCTTTGAAAGGGTTTCACCAAGGCCTGTTTAGTTTGCTCCTCACTTGGCGTCCTGGGTGATAGAAATGCGGAGAGGGTGGGGACCCTCGGAGGTGGCAAGCTTTCTGGGCACCCTGTTTTCAGGGAGGCCGGAATCTACGGCGGCAAGAATCCCTGCACTTCACTCCCCTCCTCCTTTCAGGTGCTCATAAACTGTGAACCCTTTTTGATGAAGCCAGTGAGTTATTCATGGATACAGCTACACTACACTGAAAATTAAATAGATTACTTTTGTTTGCTCACTGTGCAGTTTAGGCTGGCCTCAGATTCACTGGAACCTGCCTGCCTCAGCCTCTGTAGGGCTGGGTTTAGGGCGCGTGGGTCACAAGGCCCTGGTTTAGATTGCTTAGGTTGGGGAATCCAAAACCCCAGGGAAGGTCCTGCTGTTACTCCTGGCTTTTGTGACCTGTCCCCAGAGGGGGGGGGGGCTGTCCAGAGGAACCAGTAGCATTGTCCACCGATGCCTACTGGAAGGGGTGCCCACAGCAGGGAAGTAGCCTGTGGCAAAGGCCCTGTCCCTGGAGACTGCAAAAGCCCTGCAGAGGGGGCCTTGCATCCAGGACCCACCCCAACCTCACAGAGGAGGCCATCTGCATAAAAATTGGGGTCTGCTTCCTGTAATACAATGTGGAGATGGATCCTGCTACTGAAGTGTGGCAACTGAAGTCCTGTGAAAAGCGAAATCCCGTGGCATCCTCTTCTGCGGGGTTAAAATCCAATCTACCTGCCAAGGAATTCAGAGCTGTTTTAGTTTCCTCAGAAACGAACGTTCATTTCTTGATTCACCCAGCAGAGAGCTGGGTTGGGGATTTTTTTTTTCATAAATACGCAAATAAATAAGTGCTCTTTCCTGCTACCCAGAGGTTGCACCCCCTGAAGCTCATGTAAATAAAATTCTGTGTCACGGTCGCGTGGAAAGACCATCCCTGTTACCGAGAAACCAACTGCATGTTCTGCTAAGAGCCCCAGAATCCTGTCATCGCAGCTCTGTGCCGAGCGGTCTGGCTAATGTTATATTCTGGAAGAACAAACACTGCTCGTAGAGCTTATTGGTAAATTTGCGTCCTTGGTGGCCAGCTGCAGTGCGCAGAGCAAGGAGCACGCGCTGTCTCCTCCCTGAGCTGCGGCAGCCAGGTCTCCTTGGAGACGAGAGGTTTGCTCCCCAGAATGGCAATGTGGAAGCGTCCTCTGCCCTTTAGACTCGTCCGACAGTTTTATAATCAATCAATCTGCCTTCTTTGACCTGCTTCCTTTCTGCTTGCTGTTATTTAAGTCTTACATACACCTTGCTATTTTCCCTGACCTTTCCAGATGCTGTGCTCTTTGCAGCGGGCTGATGTATGACCGCATGCATTTTTAAAATTTTGTGCGTAGCCACCAAAAATTTCCAGCAGTCATAAAGGACATTTCTAGCCAAACCGTGCTTATTCCTTGGTAACTGCATTGCAAGCCTACGTCCCATGCAAGCTTCACTTGGGGAATGAGGCTGCTGAGAGACTGCATCCTGGGTCATTGAGCCTGGCCACCTGTACCTTCCTTGGCTGTCCTACTGCAGGACCATGCAGTATTTGAGCACTGATATTTATTGTAACATGTGGCTTTGTATAAACACAAATCTGACTGGGATACCACAGGAAATGCAGTTTACGTGACTCTGCTTTCAGGCTGGACCTGGTTCTAATCCTGGAGCCCAGGCCCAAAGGAGTCTCACTTACTAATCAACTCAGTGTGTTTCTTTCCTGTCGCTGTGTGTTCAGCAGCCTCGAGAGTCCTGGATTTTTGTCTCCCTTCCGTGGGTGCTTGCCAGGCAGTGTGTGTGCTATCTGTCTGCACCAGGGCTGTAGAGGGCATCTCTACACCAGGCGGATGGGCTGGTGAGCAGCACCCCTTTTCCATGGAACCCTTCCTGAAGGCCAGCTCAGACTAGCCAAGTCTCTCCAATATGCCACCCAGTCGATTGCAGCCAGCATCGGGCAGTGTGTGACATGGGTGCCACATGTGGTGTGCACGGCAGTGCAAATCCTGGGCTGGCAATGGTGCCCCAAGGGTTTGCCCAGTGCCCGCTGCAGTGTCCCCTCCATCCGCCCCAAACCTTCTGCCTGAGGCTCCATCAGCGGTGTCTGTCCTCTGCCTCAGCTGCCTGCAGACTAGAGAGACAGACAGCGCCCCCTGCATATGAGCTCCTGCTGGAACCCCTGAGGTTCACTCCTCCTGTGTCAGTGAGCATCTGCCACTCTCAGGGTGCTGGCTGGTGGGTGGCAGGGCCTAGGGGTCTACAGGAAGGGCACTCTTGGGGGGTGGGGGGATCCTGTGGCACACAGGACACTCAGGGAGACCTCCTGGGTGAGACACTGCTGCTGAGGAGACAAGGAATGAGAGGAAAGGGGGCGAAGGGAGGCCTGGCAAAGGTGGCCCCCACAGCTTCAGCCTGCCTGGCCCTGGTTGTCCAGACTCTGCACTGAGTCTCTGTTCAGCAGAGACACAGACATGACAGAGAAGACCAAGCTTTCCATCCCGAGGGGCCTTGGGCTGCTGCCAGTGCCCAGGCACATGCACACACACACACACACACACACACATACACGCGTGCGCGCCAGCCATCTGCCCCCTCCCACCAGGGTTTGTGTTGAGGCTCCCTGGAGGAAAGCCATGCTGGTGTGGCTTTAGGCAGGCTTCTGATTTTGTTCCTAAAATGGCTTTGTTTCAATGTTTTCACTGACATCTGAAGACGTCACCGTTAGCATTGCAGGTTCTGAATGGCACTGCTGGCATGGGGCCCAGGAGGTGCATTGATGAGACTGGCTGCCCCAGCCTGGCCTTCTCATCCCGCATCCCTTGCAGGGCCCAGGTGGAGGAGGTGGCTCCCTGTGCCCCACAACTGCTCCCTCCTTGCTGTGGAGAAGGCGGTCCCATCCCGTGAGCCCCGAAACCCTGCCCTACTTGCCCCAGCACACGCTGGGGAGTCGGCTGGGTCTGTGAGGCCAGTGCCCATGTGGCCTGGGGCTGTCTCACTCAGGTGGGGGCTGGGGTGCCCCCAACCTGACTTTCACTCTCCCAGTGACAGCAGTGACCCCATCGGTCCTCGGGAGGGCATATCCAGACCCCCTGACGACTCATTCAGCATCCAGGGATCTGGATTTTTGGCTGCTACGTGAGTCGGGTATCCCCCACCCCAATTCATTCTCTAACTCATCCAGCTGGATACATAAGACAGCTCCTTTTCTGCGGACTGGTTCATGCAGGGCTGGCTGTGGCTCTGTGTCCAGGAGCACATGTTTCTGTTTTGGTGTCAGTGCCTGAGGGTGGGTCACCCCCACTGTCACCCAGCATCCACCTCACCACTGCCCAGGCTCTGCCTAGGCCTTACTGGGGGTACGTCATGCCAACATCTGCTGCAGCCTTCAGCAATAACCCTTGAGCCTGTGTCTTTCTTCGCAGTGTATTCTCCTTGTGTGGGGATAGGAGTGGGAGGAGGGTGGAGAATGCCTCATCTTTGTAGGCACAAAGTGTACTCCGCTGGAGGCGATCACTGCTCTAGCTGGTGGGCGGTGTCCTCCTTCCTCAGCTTCCCTTCCTTCTTCCACTTCCCTCTGTGGGTTTTCCTTGCTGGAGCAGGGCTACTTTCCTTTTTTTTTTTTTTTTTTTTTACCAGTATCAGGGATTGAGCTCACAACCACGTGCTTGCAAGGCAGGCACTTATGCCGCTGAGCTAAATCCCCAGCCCAGGGCTACTTTCCAAGATAAGGTAGGTGAGGACCTTCCCCCACCCCATGCCATGGCAGGCCGTGCGGCAGGCAGGAGTGTTCCCCAGTGTACCCATTTCTTCTGCGGAGCCTTCACAGACACCTTCGCAGGTCTCCTTTAGCGATTTCTGCGTCTCCTTCCATCAGGACACTGCAGGCTCTCCTGCCGCCGGTGCAGCATCACAGTCCCCCTTTACAGTGCTCCAAAAGTGACTCACAGTCAGTAGGAACCATACTTTCTATTTTGATGTGGCGCTTTCCATGGCCCTCTCCGTGGCTGTCCTGGATCAGCCCCTCAGTGGCGAGGGAATGAGCACATCTCGCACAAAGCAGGGCGCCCATGGGCCTGGTTTCCCACTTGGGATGTTTCACCTCTGAGGAGTTTGGGGGACAGCTGAGAGGTAACTGGCTCATTTCGCTTGAGCTCAGGCTTCAGCTGCCCTGTGTTTATTTCCTCGCCCACCTGACCCCTGTCTTTGCCTGCTATCCACTGCTGGCGTCTTTGCCAAACCCTGGAGGTTTGGCCTGTCTCTTGCCCACTGTTGATATTTTCTGGATTTTTTGCTATGTGGTTTCTGTTTCCTCTAACAGAGGGAGTTTTGGGAAGCAAGTGTTTGAGTCTCAGTAGCTTGGGATTTTTGGCTTTTTCTACCAATGGTCATTGCTGGTTTTACTGCACGGTGATCAGGGGATACATGCGGCCTCTGCTTGGCCTATACCGAGGGCTCCTTCTCGGGCCCACCTGTGTTTCCTTTTGTGGATGGCCAGGAGCCAGGGGAAGAGCACGACACTCACTTTTATGTGCTGGTGTGAAACTGCACTGCTTAGGTTCTCTGATTTCTTGCTCATGTCAGGCGTCCACACAGGAGGACCTGTCTGTGCCCTGTGGCTATGCCCCATGTGCAGGCAACACTGCAGGGAGCACACTCGTGTGCCCCCTACCAGTCAGTCACTGCCGCTTGGGACTCTTACGGGGTAACCTTCCCTTCCCACTCATTGCTTTTTGGTTGTGGCGGAGTTCATGTGACATAAAATGTACAACCCAGCCCCGTCAGGACACAGCACAGGGTGCTGAGCATATTCGAGGTTACATCTCAGAGCTTCTCAATGCAAAGCGGCGGCTCTGTCACTGTGGAGTAGCTCCCATCCCTTTCTTGGCCCAGCTGTCAGACTGGAACTGCTCCAGGATCTCCTGAAAGCAAAACCACATGGAACTCAACCTGCGAATGGCTGAGCTCACTTTGTATCGTAGTATCAAGGTCCAGCCATGCATCATGGCTCAGAATTCCCTTCCTTTCAAAGGAATTCCATTCCCATCCTAGTCTCTTTCTTGTTGCTGGGACAAAATATCCACTGCCCATAACATAGGAGGGACAAGTTTGTTTCCACTTAGGTTTCACCTGTGACCAGCGGCTCTGGGGCAGAGACAGAATGGTAGAGGGTCCAGTTGGAGGAAAAGGCACTCATCCCTCAGCAGCCTGGCCCATGACCACCTCCCCCTGCGCCTGCCAAGTGCACAGTCTGCTGTGAACGCTCGGTGGAGGAGGCCACTGGCAAGCCCCTGCTGAGGTCCTTTCCAGGCATCTGAGATTTCAACCCTGACGGCTCTGCTCATGGACAGCATGTGCCCTTTTCTCCTCCCAACCATGCTTTCGCCTGCGGCAGCCACAACAACATTGCCATGGACACAGGCATCCTGCGGTGCTGCAGTCCTGGCTCTTGGTTCTCCGGGACGCTTGCCGGAAGTGGGATGGCCAGGTCACATCGTGACCCAGTGTGCAGATTGTGATGAGCTGTGGTTCCATGCTCCACAGCAGCCATGCTATTCCACATCCCCGCCAGCAGCACCCATGCCTTCCAGGACCCCCCTAGACCTTACCCACGCTTGCTCCCCTCCTTGGTTTTGTTTTTGTTTCCCAGAATGGCCACCCCTGCGTGTGGCTGCGCTGCCACCTGCTGCTCTGCAGCTGGAATTTAACATCCTCGGGGATTGCGTGGCCATCCGTGTGACATCCCAGCGCCCACCTCTTGGATGTTCTGCTGAGTCACTTCATCCTGTGGCCTGATTTGGCTCAGCTTCTGGAGGATTCCAGGGATACTTTCAGATTGTTTGTCTGAATCCTGTGCTTGCCCTCAGGGCCAGCGATCTCGGTCAGGCTACTTCCTGTCTGAGCTGCTCACGATCTGTAAGGTGGAGGTGATGTGAAGTCACTGTGTACGGGGAGGGTCCTGGGGATTCTCGAGCCTCCACATGGGAGCTGTGTGAGGCTGGCACGGAGTCCGGGCTCAGGGGACGATCAGTAGTCTTCCTGGTTTTAAGAAATAAGGGTGGTGTTTATCTGCTGTCTTGTTTTCTGCATTCCAATTTTTAATACTTCCAGGGGACTTCCTGTTTCTTCTCCATGTCTGTATTTTCTCCTTGTCCCTCTGTTTTTAGTTAAACTTGTGTTCTATTTTATGACCTAAATAAGCATGATTATTTCTTGGCTTACAAAGTACAGAAATAAATAATGTCTATTGACAATGAGTAGGATTTTAGCAAGGGCCAGAGCAGATTATGGGGGGCCCTTGTGGGCAGTTGCATCTGCCACTAGGTCACCAAGATGGACAGAGGTGGAGGACAGGGTGGCCATGATGCTCCAGAGAAGGGCTGGGAAGGACCAGTGCTTTCTGATGGCAGCAGAGTAACTAGGACATAAGACAGGACCAAGAATTGTTCCCTGTGCACCCCACATCCAGCCCAGAGCAGGCGCTTGGAGGGGGAGGGGGAATCAAAGCCAGGCAACAGGAAGCAGGGACCCAGGCCAAGGAGGGCCCATGCCATCTGGGTGCCACTGCCCCTGAACAGCTGGTTGAAGGATGCTGGCAGGTGGGGCAGGTGCTCAGCCTCCCCTGGACAGATCAGAGGGAGGCATCTTCAAGGAGAACAGAGCCCAGCACTGGGCACTCCCCAGGCACTGCCCAAAGGTCTCACTGCCTGGGACACATTGGCAGCCAGCAGGACATGGTTCTGAAGTAGCCCAGCTGAGCAGGACCCTGCTTTCAGCTCCCCAGGACCCCTTTGGGGCCCTGGGCACTTCTGCCCATCAGAAGAGTCCTCTCCCCCATCTTGCTGGCCCTGTGCCCACCTGCAAAATCTCTGGCAATGCCGTATTGGCTATTTATAAACTAGTTGCCTGCCGGGGCCTCTGCACTGCAGGTTATGAAATGTGTGCAAAACATAACTTCTTTAAAATGAAATGAATGCTAAGCCAGTGTAAATTCACACCCAGCCTGTCCTCCTCCTGGGTCATGCCAGGTGAGCCTGCAGCAGAGCTAGCACCACTCGGCAGGACAGGGTCGCTCTTGGGGGCCTGGTGGGGGCGTGACCTTAGCATACCCGGGCACCGTGCCAGGTATCACTTATACACCACTGCAGGGCAGGGCACAGGGCTGCCTGGTGCCCATGCCCTGCTGGGCAGCACTCACCGTCCTGTGGCTGCTCCTGCTGTCTCAGATCCCATGGCTTTGGCCAAGGTGTGTGGCGCAGGTCTGCCCAGCTCAGCTCACATCTGCCGTGTGTACTGTGGCCAAGCTCCAGGGTGGGTCCCCACTGCTCCGTCTTGCCTGGTCAGGGTGTTTTCCTGGGCCCATCAGCTGATGAGGGAGGCTGTCCAGACATGCTCTAAGAGCCAAAGTTTCCCCCGGCCTCAGGGCAGCAGAGTGGGGTCCAGGGGTGGGTTGTGGCAGCTGTTGAGCTCCTCACAACCAGCTCCTAGCTCAGCCCCGGCCCCTCCTCCAGCTGGGCTGCCCAGGGGCCTGACTCAAATGGAGGAAAGACACAGCCACAGTCCGAGCAGCGAGGCTGAGGCCAGGTGAGGAGCCCAGCGGGCAGGGGTTGGGGGAAGCCCTCCTGCCCATGTGTTGAGCTCCTGCATGGGTGGATTTTGATCTCATGTGATGCACAGTACCGCAGATCCTCTGAGCTTGTGTCTGCCACAGTAAGAGCACAGGGCTGCTCTTGTGCCCCAGTGCACCGGCTCAGATTGTATCCAGCAAATGCCCAGACCGAGGGCTGTGCTGCATACTGTGACCACTGGCCTGACAGATGGGCTGAGAGTCCCTCCTGCATCACTGCCTGGGGCAGGAACGGTCCCTCCCCAGACTCCAGGGGAGCCCTTGGTGGCATCAAGGCTCAGTGCTCAGGTATGGAGGCTCCAGACCTGGGCTGGGTCCCAGAAAGTCATTCTCTCTACTTAGTGTCCAGGTCTGAAGCTGGAGAGTTTGGTGTAGGGGTGCTGGCACCTGTGACCAGTGTGGCAATTACAGGTCACCTCCAGTAGCAGAAGTGAAGCAAGGGTGGGCGTCCTGGGCCCCATCCATGGACAGGGCTGTTACAGGGACTTGGATGACCCAGAGGCCCTGCCCAGAGCTCTGCATGCCTGCAGGGGCCCTGACCACTGCCCTGCTCTCAGGAGCTCACTGCAGGCCCAGGGTGGGCAGGGTGGGCACAGGCCAGAGAGCAGCTAGTGACACCTGTCACCCTCTATTGCAGCCCATCAGCTCTTCCTAGTCACCGCCTGCCAGGACGCCCACTATGGGACCCTAATGCAGGAGCTGTGCCTCTCCCGCTTCCAGAAGGACATGGAGGCCATGGAGAGGACGCTGTGGTGCGACTGGGGCAAGACCATCGGGTGAGTCAGTGTTCCTGAGGGTGTGGGACAAAGCTGGGGCGGGGACCACCTGGGGTAACGTGACCCTGGGTGGGTGACCAGGCCCTGGACGACAGCACAGGTCGCCGGGGGTGGGGGATGTTGCCAAAACAGCAAGAGACAGAGGATCCAATTAGGCTGGGCGTGCCCCCAGCTGTCCCAGCACAGGTGTCTGGGGACAACCAGCCCAGCAGCCCCATGCCAGGACCATGGTAGCCACAGATCATGACAGAGAGGTTCTTGTAGCCAGGCTAGGGCTGACTGCTCCATTCAGGGCTCAGAGCTGCAAGCTGGGCTGCCCCTGATAGGTGATCCCCCAGTGCTGGCCGAGCCCTTACTCCATGTGGCAGGCATGTGTGCTACCTGAAGTCCGTCCTCTCACTTGTAGGGTACCCTCACCAGGTGCAAGGTCCTCCCAGCTGGGCCAGGCTGTCCACCTTTGTCACCTACTGTCTAGGCCTCGATGCGGCTTCAGTGTGAGCCCCGGGCTCCCGTGTGCTTGGGGGTATATGAGTGATCCCCAAGCAGGGTCTGTGTGCTGCACCACAGCGCACAACACACAGTGGGTGTGAGATCCTGGCACCCCAAGGCCAGAGAGGACAGGGGTCCCCGAAGATGCTAGTGAGAGCCAAGGGTGAGGAGGGCCTGCCTAGGGGGTCTCTATGAAGGCAGGGAGAAGGAACCAGCTCATACACAAATTGCTTGAGGCTTCACATCTCCTCAGGGTCTAGGACTCGCCCAGTTCCTGGCTCTGCTGGCCCAGCCCCATGGAGTGAACGCCCCTCCAGGTGGGATGCAGCTGGAGGGCACATGGGGTCTTCTGTGTGGAGTCCAGAAAGTGGGTCCACACTGCGCCCCCATGCCTGGGCTCAGGGCTCCCCCTGCCCGTGGAGCCTCAGCCTTGATGAGTGGGTGGACCAGCAGCCACCCACCCATCCTCCCCCAGCCACGTGCCTGTTGTGGGGCTCCATTGCTGGAGTACTCTGCTCAGCAGAGAGCCATCAAAGTGAATCTCTGCCTTGGGAACAGGAAACAGGCAGGCACGGTGTCTGTGGGGTACAGTGCTGCAGTCAAGAACTCACACCCCAGCTATATGCCCTGCTCCAGCTCAGGAGCTGTGGCCTAAGCCCAGACCCCATCTCCCCCCAGGCTCAGGACCTGGAACCCTTGATGGGGCACAGTGGACCTGGGAGGTCCCACCTGGGTCCCCCCTTGGGGTGTTCTGGAGACCTGGCAGCACCCCAGCCAGGTCCTCACCCTGCTGTCCAACTGCCGCACCTGGGGCCTCTTGGAAACCACAAGCCTTAAGTTCTGAGTGAGCTGGAAATGGAGAAGGATGAGGTTGCGAAAAGCAGCAGAACTAGCTGCAGGCTGATTGGCTTCCTGCCTGGCTGAGTGGTTTGTGCTTAATTAAAGGTTGCATTTATCACAGCCCAGGAGACGCCAGGCCCTGGGGAGGCACAGGCCCTGCAGGCGCTTCCCAGGGGCATGGGGCAGGGGGAATAATCAGCTGCCACAGGGGGCACAGCTAGAAACAGAAGCAGGGGACCTGGAAGAAACAGTGCACCTAAAGAGAAGATTAACACCAAGCCCAGCAAGTGCCCTGTAGCACCCAAGCCCAGCCTGCGGCCCTAGGACCCCTGATGTCCATGTCCTGATCCTGGGGTTCCCGTGTGCGCTGTGTTACACTACGGAGGGAACCTACCTGGAGAAGCCGGGCAGGTGGCTCTGGCTCAGGGAGATGACTCTACATTACCTAGATGTCTCGGGCTCCCTAACACAACTCTACTTCAGCCGCTGCAGGGCTTGCAGCTCAGCTTGGTCCTTGCCCTGCCCTGGCCTGGTTTGAATGCATTCTTCCTCCTGCATAGTGAGGTGACCCTGCCATTCCTTCACACTTCTTGCTTCAGCCCTCAGTCAGCCCTTTCTCCAGGGAGCCCCAGTCAGTCATTTTTGCTAGCGAACGGCATTTAGGAGCCGTTCATGTGCATAAGTGTGCACCTACCCAGGATGTTGACAGGACCCCTGGAGAAGTGTGCACCCCCTTTTAACCTTGGTGTTGGAACAAGGTTTACATCAAGACTTGGCTCAGATGGTCAGGGTTAGGCTCCATGCTTCAGGTCTCCTGATTTTAAATACTCACCCCATCTCCAGAAACCCCTACAGTAGCTCCTAGATTCATGTTTCATTCAGTAGTGGTCCCCAGAGCATGGCCAAACTAACACTTCAGAAAAGCAGCTCTTACAGCCGGACATGGGGTGCATACTTGGAGTCCCAGCATCTGGAGGCTGAGGCAGGAGGAGCCTCAAGAGTGAACCCAGCCTGGGCAACTGAGTGACTCAGGGGTTCCCTATCTCAAATTTAAAAACAGAAAAGGTCTGGGGACACAGTCCCAGGCAAGCACACCTGTGGGGGTACTGGGCAGATGGAACCTGGTGCCCGATATCAATGAGGAACGAGGCTGGTGGTGGGCACCTCTTCATCTCCCCGGTTTCTCATGGACATGAGTGTGGTCTGTATGTGCAAAAGCTCTGCTTTTATCTTTTTATAAATTGTACATGTTTCTGTCTCTCTGTCTCTATCACATTTCTGGTCTTTTTTCAAGAGCTTCTTTTATGTTACGAAGACACAAGGCCTTTATCTCTAATGCTCACTGTTAGATATTTCCTCCAAGCTTGTTGGGTATTTTGTGAGTTTTGTTACACTTCTTCTTAGTACTGAAACCTGAACCCAGGGCCTTCAGACTGAGGTACACCCTCATCCCTGTTTTTGTTTTTAGTCTTTCAAGCAGGGTCTCTCGAAATCACTAAGCTGCTCAGGCTTGGCTTGAACTTGTGGCCCTCCTGCCTCAGCTTCCTGGAGTGCTGAGATAACAGGTGTGCACCCCCACACCTGGCACAGTATTTTTACTGTCATCTGACACACCTGTCTCTATCACGTCTAGATTGGAGGACTTCCCGCCTGGGCCAGGAGAGCTCGCCATGTTCTTTCTGGCCCAAGGATCAGCTGCGTAGCTGAGCCTGCTCCAGCTGAGTGTGTTCCTGCACACAAGCGTGACTCCTGCATCACTTTCTGCATGGGTACCCACTTGTCTCATTTATCAGAAAGCCCTCCCTTGCCCCCAGCGACTCTGTGCTGCCCTGGGGTGCCTGATGTGCCTTATCCCTTTCCACCTCTGCACCCAAACCTGTGCTGTTCATTTCTCCCGGGTCCTCCCTTCCCTCATCCCAGGACGAGAGCTTGTGCTCACAGCTGGCATCTGCTTAGCACTTACACATGACAGGCTTCATGTTGGCTGCTTACAGTTACCTCCTTTACACATAAGCAGTGACGGGAGAGGCAGTCGGGTTTCTCCCTCGCTGTCTCTGCCAGGCTCTCAGCTGCACACCCCGGCTCTGTCCTGGTGTCCGAGAGGGACAGGGCACCTGCCTTCATGAGGGATGTGAGGTCTGCGTGTACAGCAGGGCCATACAGGGCCTTTAGGTCTCTTGAGCAGGGGCTCTGGGCAGGACGAGAGAGGGCAGCACAAGAGCAGTGGTGCCAGGCGGTGTGTGGCAGGAAGCCATCTCTGGCATCACCAGGCAGAGGCAGGAAGCACCGTGTCTGATGGGAGTGAGCTCTGAAGTGAGGCCCTGGCTGGCCTCAGTTTGTCCTGAGCCAGGCTGTGGGACTGGGCCAGGCAGGTGATTGGACAGAGGACTCAGGCACAGGGAGAGGCCTCTCTGCTCACTGGAGGTCACCACTGTGACGAAGATGAAATCCCAGTGAGCACAGCATGGCTACCATTGGGATCAGGTGACCAGGACATGGCAGCAGCCGCAGCACCAGAGCTCCCAAATGTGGGCTGCCTGAGGTCACTATTATGCCAGGGCCTGGTGGGCCTGCAAGTGTCTCTAGTGGCAGAGGACCAGCATCCAGATCTCCTCCAAAAGCAGAGGGGACTCCAGGTGCACAACAGCTGCATGTGGAAGGGACCCATCTTCCCCAAGTGACAGGGACAGATGCAAGCAAATGGAGGGAACACTGGTCTAGTGCTGGGACTATGCTTGGCGGGCTGAGTGTAGCTCTGCAGGGTGCTCTGCCTAGCTTGACCCGGGCCAAGAGAGCAGATGGTCTCCCCAGTGAGGCCCAGGGCTGAGGACAGCATTGAGAGAACCGCAGAAGTCGTGTTTCCTTTGACCAGGACCATGGCCTGCGCTGACTTTGCAGATGCAGGAGCAGGACAGTGAAAGCCTGGGCGCCTGCACCTGTGTATGAATTGGCCCAGGCTCCCTGATTGCGCTTGACCTTGACTGTGACCTCACACTGCACTTAGCCTCTGATTCCCTGCCCGCTGGGTGATCTTGTCAGGCTGCTGTGCAAGGCTCCAGGGTATCCCCAAGCTCCTTCTACATGGATGGGGCATCTGGAGGGCAGCAGTGCTCACAACTCGTGGCCAGTTTGTGCTCTAAGCCTGCTGGAGCAGGGAGCTGCCTCAGCACCCCGTGGCCTCCAGCTGAGGGAGCAGAGGCACCTTCAGTTTTATAGCTGATGCATAAAATCAGGAAACTGATGTTTCAATGTGTGGATACATTGTGTCAGTTTTTAATACACTGTGTCACTTTTAATTCCCCTAACCAGGTCTTTGTTTTGTTTTTTTGTACTGGCAATCGAACTCAGGACCTTCCACCTGCCAGGCAGGTGATGTGCCACATCACATCTATGTTAAAGGCTTATGTATGGTGAAAACATTCCACTCCTTCTCCCAGCCCTGGGCTCCCATCTAGCTGTGACCTGGTGCCTCCAGCCTTGGGGACCGTGCTCCCCTCCTTGGGCTCTGAGATCCTGGTGTAGATTCTGCATGAAGACCTCGCGTGTCTTTTGCCTCTGTGCCTGGCTCACTCCCAGAGCTCCAGCTGTACCCTCTGTGCCCCAAGCAGCGTCCCCAGTGTCTGTCTCGTCGTCTTCCTCTGCTTACCAGGGATGCACACTCTGGCGTCTCC